ACTCCATCAGGGGCTGGTGCGCAGGAGGCAGCCAATCAGTGATTCTACCTCATCATTGATGTTTCTGTCTCTTCCTCTCCCTTTCTCTCTTAAATCAATAAAATAGTATGCAATACTTAAAAAAAAAAAAATACACACTATCATTATTCCTCTGAAAAAGCAATAGTATTTCTCCAATGTCATCAAATAGCCACCTGGCATTCATGTTTCCTCCTCTCCTTATAATCTTATTTTTCAAAAAATAGTTGACATCAGAGATCAAACAATATCTATGATTTGTGATATTGTCGTTAATATCTCTTAAATTTTTCATCTAAATTTCAAATTTCCTCTTTCAAATATTTTGTTCATTTCTTGCCAGTGTGTGTGTGTGTGTGTGTGTGTGTGTGTGTAAAATAAAACAAGTTTTTATCCTATATGGTAGGATAATTGAAAATCTCAAAGTGCCATTATTTTTGTAGATTACAGTTAATCAATATTTACTATATTGCAAATTAAATACATAATTTAAACTATTTACTTATTTAAAAATAACAATAGGCCCTGATCAGTTTGGCTCAGTGGATAGAGCGTCAGCCTGTGGACTGAAGGGTCCCAGGTTCGATTCTGATCAAGGACATGTACCTTGGTTGCAGGCACATCCTCAGTAGGAAGTGTGCAGGAGGCAACTGAATCGGTGTTTTTCTCTCATTGGTTTTTCTATTTCTTTATCCCTCTCCTTCTCTCTTCCTCTCTATTAAAAAAAAAAATCAATAAAATATATTAAAAAAAAAACACACAATAGTAAACCCATTAATGTATGTAAGCAGTTTTAATGAAACAAACATAGTTTCAAAATTAAAAGCACACTAAATAAGCACTACTGTTTTGCATTTTTGTAAATCTCTTTAATGTCTCTGGCTTGATAGAAGATAGGTGGATTCTGATATTTGCTTCTGCATTCGATCTATTGCAATATGCTATTTTGGTCGAAATTTATGGGGTTGGAAAAGGGAGGTGTATTTTCATTTAATAGTGGATGTTCTTCAATGACATTTAACCAAAACTTGACAGGTGGTAGCTCCTTTTTTTAATCCTCACTCTAGGATATGTTTAGGGAGAGCAAGGGAGGGGCTGGGGAGAAAAAGAGAGAGATTGAGAGAGGAACATTGATCAGTTCCCTCCTCTATGTACCCGGATGGGGGTTCAGACCCACAACCTACAGCCTTTTGGTGGACGAGATGACGCTCCAGCCATTCAAGCCACCCTGCCTGGCAACAAGCGGTAGTTTCTTAAATGTCAGTTGCAATGTGCAGTTTGAAGCTCTGTTGATCAGTTTTTAATACTTTGTTACTTTAGAATCCATTGGTCTATCTTGCATTTTGAATGGATCCTTTACCCATGCATAATTTTGTAACATTAAGCATTGGTCATTTGGAAAATAACTGCTTCGCCACGTTGTGCAGAGCTTCCAAATGTTGGCAATATTTTATTGTGAAATGTTTTAAAATCGTGTTCATGAATATTACCACCCATCTTCATAGAAAAGTCTTTAGCTGTTGGGAAGTTTCAAGCTTCTTGGTGGTGGATATACGCTTTTCCAAAATTCTGATTTTTCCCTTGAATGCTCAAATGGTATCATTAGCTACAAATGCTGTCAGCATTTTTCTTGATGTGACAGGCTCACTTCACTTATTTTTGACAAAATATTTGCCAAATATTCAAACCTGAATAAACATAGTTTTGGGGGGGGAAAAAAAATGGCTCTCTTTCCATGGAAAACAAAATAGCTTATGCAGCTTGTATCTCAAACAGTTCACAGGCTCTTTTCCTTGAGGCAACCACAGTGCTTTGGCACACCCAACTGTTTTGTGGTACCTACTTTATCATCACACAGAATATTAAAAGACTAGAGGCCCAGGGCATGAAATCCGTGCACTCGAAGTGGGAGTCCCTCAGCCCGGACTGTACCCTCTCGCAGTCTGGGAGCCCTCGGGGATGTCCAACTGTTGGCTTAGGCCCGCTCCCCAGAGGAGAGCCATCAGTAAGCCATCAGTCAGACGTCCTTAGCGCTGCCCGCAGGAGAGGCTCCCACCACTGTTGCTGCACTAGCCAGCCCAGCTTCTGGCTGAGTGGTGCTCTCCTTGCAGGAGGACACTGACCACCAGGGGGCAGCTCCTGCATTGAGCATCTGCCCCCTGGTAGTCAGTGTATGTCATAGCGACCGGGCCATTTGTTGTTTGGCTGATTTGCATATTAGCCTTTTATTATACAGTATGTATATTCAGGTTTCAAGACAATGATTTCATCAAGGATTGTCTTTAGGGAAACTGACATTTGTTTACTGTGAATGCAGGATGGTGAAGACAACAGTGGCCGCAGCTCTGCTCACTGATGCTTTTGTTCCATGAGTGCAAATGTCAACAGAGTGAGGGAGGCAATAACGCTTAGTAATTTTTATGAAAACGGTGTTGACTTCTTGGACCTTTGTAAAGGGTCTCAGGGCACCCTAGGGTCTGTGGCCTGTGCTTTGAGAAATGTTACTAAAGAGTTTCTGACAGTCCCAATTTTGCTTCTGATATTTTTTTGGTGTGACTTAACGTGTTCCTTTGTTCCTGGTATTTTCTGTAAATAAACTTGATCAGATTAGGTTCGATTTTGTTTTTTCCTGGCAATACTCCTTCATATATGGTTTCTTAGAGACATTAATTTGTTACATGTTGCAAATGGTTATGTTTCAGTTCTGACATTCCTTTGTTTATTAGCAGGAATTCTTTCTGAAGGAAAATTTCTTCTTACCCAACTATCGGTTACCCTGAGATATGGTTTGTATGGGTCTCATGATACAAGCAGGGTCAATTCTTGTTTATTTTCCCAGATAGTGACTTGGTTACCATCTATCCCCCCTTCCCCAAAGGTGGCCAGTAAAGTGTTCTAGGTTTGCTTTTTGTTTGGTTTTGAATATCATTATGAATTCGTGGATTTAAACTTATTTGACGTGTTTCAGTTCAACACAACTAGGATCCTTTCCTGGGCCTGCAGGAACCTCTTCAGTTGCTCCTGAGTTCTTCCGATCTGACCTCTGTTGTCCTTGATAGTTTCCTTGTTTTTTTTGTTTGACGTGTTCTAGGCTCTTCTTGCACATTTTTTGCCGGAAATCACCTCCTTCTCCAGGAAGACCTCAAAGAAGTGGTATTTAAAGACCATAGTTGGAGCTCTGGGCTGCTCGTTACTGTTGATGGGTGATTGTTTCTAGACTTTTTTAGTGGACAAAACTACAAAAATGCATATTTTTTAAAGATAAAATGCATCACAAATTCATACTAAAACTTCATTCAGATTTAGGACTCATTGATCTTTCCCATTGCTTGTCAATGACCTCAATATAACTTATTTTATCCCATACTACACAGAAAATAGTCTCAAAGAACAATATCATGCTGCCAATAACTATGATTATGAAAAAAGTTATTTTGCAGCGTTTTAGAAAATGAAAATTAAGCATTATCCTAGTTTAGCTAACTGAATTGGTTACCTTAACACAGCGTTATTGGTGTTTACTGTACATGTTGAGACTTTTTTTTTTCTATTTCCAGGAATATCAAATTGGCAGATATTTCACCTGTATTAAATCAATTTGCTGAAAGAGTCGATCATACTGTGCATTCATTATATTCATTCCTTGCTCTTTTTTATTATCCAAATGGTTCCTTTTTGTTTATTAACATTTCCTATTCTTTATTCATACCTACTCTCTTTTCAATGTTTCAAAACAAAAAAACTGTTTAGAAGGCAAGGAATTATTTTCTACTAGAGGCCCGGTGCATGAAAATTCATGTACTGGAGGGTGGGGGGGTCCCTCAGCCTGGCCTGCTCTCACATCCAGGAGTCCTCAGGGGTGGGAGGCAACCCAGCGCTCAGGGCAAGGTGATGCCCCATCACTGCTACTGCCACTGCTGGCAGCGCAAGCCTTGGCCAGCCCTGGTTATCTAAGCTTCGGGGTGGCCCTGGGCAGGTGGAAAGCTGCCATCTGAAGCTTGCCTGTGCCTTGGGCCCGCCCTGGGTGGCTGCAGGGCTGAGGGCAGGTCCGGCCACATCATGTGCCTGCTGCCCTCCGGTGGGGCTGAGGGGATTGTGTGGTGCCATCTTGTGGCTATGGGCGGTGCCATATTTGTGACAGTGTGATGGTCAATTTGCATATTTCCTCTTTGTAAGATAGGGTGGCATCATGATTCGTTGGTGTGTTTTGCCCCAAAACATATTTTTATTGATTTCAGAGAGGGAGAGGGAGAGAAAGATAAAAACATCAGTTATGAAAGAGAATCATTGCTTGGCTTCCTCATGCATGCCCCACACTGGGGATTGAGCCCATAACCCAAGTATGTGCCCTTGACCGGAATTGAACCTGGGACCCTTCAGTCCCCAGGCCGATGCTCTATCCATTCAGCCAAACTGGCTAGGGCATGATTCTTTGTTTCAAGTGAGTTTGCTATGAAACAATGAATTTCTTTTTAAGAATAGAAATATTTACCGTGACACTTTATAACTTAGAAATTTTATTACTATCTTTCTGCTATAACTTACCATGGATTACATTATACAATAGTGTTGATATTTTCTGAAGTAATTATTTCTAGATCTGTGGATATGAGATGTTATGATCAAGAAAATTATGTAGCCAAAACCAGTGTGGCTCAGTGGTAGAGCATCAGCTTGCGGACTGAAAGGTCCCAGGTTCGATACTGGTCAAGGGCATATACCTGGGTTGTGGGCACATCCCCAGTAGGGGGTGTGCAAGAGGCAGCTGGTCGATATTTCTCTCTCATTGACGTTTCTAGCTCTCTATCCCTCTCCCTTCCTCTCTGTAAAAAATCAATAAAATATATTTTTAAAAAAAGAAAATTATGTAAATAAGGGAAATTAAAGTAATGACCACTGAAATAAAAACTGATTTATATGTGGAATTCCCTCCTACCCCCCCCCCCTCTTTTTTTTTTTCCTTCAGGTTAAAAAAATAAATCATGACTGAATCTGCCTCTAGCACAAGTGGTCAAGAATTTGACGTATTCAGTGTTATGGACTGGAAAGATGGAGTAGGTACATTGCCAGGAAGTGACTTAAAGGTAAGCTATCTTTATTACGTACAATTTTATGTAATTATAAAAATTAAAGCTGAATATGTACGCAAACTAAGAACTGAAAACATTAAGCACAATGCTGTATGTTTTATATGATACTCAGACCTCTACAGTAAACTCTCACGGCAGTTGGACATGCTTGTGGTTTGGCAGAAGCCTTGGTCACTTGGGGTGGAGACTAAGGAGTGTTTCGACAGCCATGTGTTCATTTTGCAGATAGTGAGTTACAGCTTCCAGGAGGATCAACTCAGGTTTGACTCTCATGATGACCAACAAATGTGGCAGTGGTCGGTGAGAAAACCTGGCTTCTATTTTGTAGCAATGGGCTTTATAAATTTAAGTAAACACACTCCCTGGGCCCTAGTTTTCTCATTTAAAAACTGGGTAATGTTAAAATATTGAATAAACAGAATTATTTACCTCCCTTAAATTATTTACACTGTAAATACGAATTTTATATAATCACTTGTTCAAAAGGACTGGTTCCCCTGTACACCAGGCTGCTTTTTGTGGATGAGAACTCTCTTCAGAGAGTGATCCCTTCATGTGCCTCTTTTCTAGGCGCTCACCCTGCCCCTTTCCCCCATACCCTCAGGCCCACTCTGGGACCACATCTGCTGCCCCGTGAAACAGGGTTATGCAAGCATCCAACTGGGAAGTCACCTCTCATTTCAAATTTGCTTTTGCTCTGATCCTATCTCTGGGACCTTGAACCTGTCTGTGGCCTTTTGGACTTTGTGTTTGTACTTGGTCACTCAGGTGTTTGAACTTCCAATCTCTCTAACAGGCTGTTAGTTGGCCTACCTCTCTAACGCTTAGTGTTCTGTATTGTCTTGAATAGAATTTCCTGCCCCCTAATGTTGGCTTCTTATAATCCAATCCCTTTTAGCTGCCAATCCTGCCTTATTTCATTCTCACGGGTGAGATTTGGTTCTGTTATTTAAGGAAACATACTTAGATTTTAGTTGGGTTAGGTGAGGTTTACTGAAATCTGAAGAGGAGATTTGGTTTTAGTTTTTTAGTCTGTGTAACTTTGAGCAAGTCAGCTGGTCTCCTTTGGCCAGTTCCTTTTTGGTAAAATGAGGGATTAAACAAACACTAAAGATTTTATCTACTCTTAACATTCTTCATCTGTTCATCTGGATTAGATAGATAGGAATAGAGTCCTGGGATTTTTGAGAAAGAAGGAACTGTGCTTCAGACTCTGAAAACGTCAGCCACATATTAGCTACCTGAACCTTGTCAAGTTATTTAAATTCCCTGTTTCCGAATCTTTATCTATGAATGGAAATATGGGATCTATGTCATAAGGTGGTTATGAGGTGGTTGAAAAAGAAATCTATATAATAAAAGCATAATATGCTAATTAGATTGGACAGCCAACCAACCTTCTGGACATCATTCTGGACGTCCTTGCAGACGAACCTGTGGTGACAGGAGCTGAGGCAGAGGTGGTCAGGGACTATGAGGCAGGAAGGCAGGCGAGTGGTTAGGAGCCAGTGGTCCCAGATTGCAAGAGGATGCAGGCCACGGCTGAGGGACAACCTCCCACCCCCGTGCACAAATTTCATGCACCGGGCCTCTACTGTATACATAAAAGACTTAAATTGTAGCTATTCAAGCTTTGCGATATATTGTGTAACTGCCCTCCCCCACTTCCTTTTTCATTGCTTCATCCCCTTGTATATTTTAATCCCTTCTGAGTGGCATTTTGGGTGTCAGGTAGATGACAAAATTTGTACGTTGTTTGGTTAGCTTTTAACAGTGGAGAATCATTTCCATCCTTAAGAAATTTAGATTGCCCAAAGGTTTTCTAAGCATTGGATTTTAGGAATAGTAAATAACCCTTTACTTTTATTAAAACAAGTAGATAATTTAGTCATTTAATGGGTCTTATAATCTGGGTTATTTGATTTTATTTTTAGGCTCACCTAATTGGACAGTTGTCGTGTATTCAATTCACTTCATGCACTGTGGATAGTTTGATGCCATTAAAGTAATAATTTAAAAACTGATTTTCTACCTTTCTACTCTTTCCACCTAAGGAGATTCAGAGGCTAGCCAATTGATTATATTGCTTAGGATTTTTAATTCACTTGCTCCTTCTATTAAAATTCGAGCAGTTTAAGAGTACTGATTGAGAAATTAATTTTTCACAAATGTAAGATATTAGAAAGAACTTTGATTAAATCAGGAAATTTACTCTCTCGCATCATGCTTTGCCTGTTTGAAACCCTTAGTATTGCATAATGTGTTCTTTTACAATGTAAATTAGTATTTCTGGATTAATATCTCAGGGCCATCCCTGAAAACAGGCAGGTAGTGAGCAGAATGGGAAGATGTATGGTAGGGCTCCTTTTCCTTAAAGCAATTTCTCTACCTGAACTTCTCATGCTGTGTGAAATGTATCCGCAGAGAATTATTCCTCTGGGCCATAAGGATTCAGTCTTTCAGAGTCCCTGAGTAAAATGCAGATTTACTCCTGAGAGCGATAGCATCTTATCGAGGAAGGAGAGTTGCCATTTAGCTGAGAGCAGGGCCTAGCAGCAGCAATGCAGAAGCCCACCTGGGAAACTCCCCGCACTCACGGAGCACAGTTGGCCTTGCCTGGTTACTGTTCAGGCCAGTTTAGTTAGCAAATATCTTTGCCCTTGAAACAGATTGGTAAGTAGAACTCATATTTCAGCATTAAAAATCATATAACAAAAATAGGCATCTCAGTTGTGTCTTTTAATAATCTGTTATTTAAGCTAGAGGCAAAAATAGGTAAAGACCCTTTGCTTTTACAAGCAAAATAGAGACTTGAATCAGTTAAAGGCAATTCAAGCCAAGACAGGTAAACAGAACCTTTGCTACTCTTTATATATTTTAGAAGTAATTATTTCTTTAAAATTTTTTTTTAAAATATATATTTTATTGATTTTATACAGAGAGGAAGGGAGAGAGATAGAGTGCTAGAAACGTCGATGAGAGAGAAACATCAACCAGCTGCCTCTTGCATACCCTCCACCGGGGATGTGCCCGCAACCAAGATACATGCCCTTGACCGGAATCAAACCCGGGACCTTTCAGTCCGCAGACCAACGCTTTACCGCTGAGCCAAACTGGTTTTGGAAGAAGTAATTATTTCTGATTGACCTGGATATATCAGACCCACTTACAGGAAATGTTCCAGTGTCAGCTGATTGCTTGATTTGTTTTAATAAAGCGCTTTGTAAAGTTTATAATTTTGATATTCTTGGTTAGAATGGGATGACTATTTTCACACTGCTTTTTAGACTTCTAGGTTAAAAACTAATAACTTGAGAAACAGAAAAGAAATAAAATTGGTTATTTCAAGTTTTCATGGTTTCAAAACTATTCATTACCAACTTCCAAACCTGAGCGTTTTGTTGGGGAAGGTGTCAGTCTCGCGGGAATTCCGCCCGTGGAGCCCAGTCCTGTTAACAGCACCGAACAGCCCGGGTGGTCCAACACTTTCTACAACAATAGTAATATTGTAGAAGACATGGTAAATCCAAATTGAAAAGCCAGAAAAGAGCACTGATTCCCGTGTCTTTGCATATGATAAAAGACATTAAAAAAACACTTTGAGGTTAATTTTTGAGATAAAGTAATTAGAGTAGATGCTCTTTACTCTTCAGGATGATAGGATGCCTCTGAAAATACGATGAATCTAATGAGCCCTATCCCCCGAGAAGTATATATGTGCCAATCTCAGTTATGCGTATATTTCATGGGACCCATTGACCCCTGAAGTCCATCCATCCATGGATCCCTGGCTCACAGGAGTCACCTGTTTTCCCTGAGTGCCATTGCATCTTTACTGTGCTTAACCTATAGGTCAGTTATAGGCATTACGTATTAGGAGAAGGAAAAGATTATTGGGATTAAGTGTACTGTGGGATTATGACCTTTTAACTTTGAAAGTATTTGAGCCTAAAGCGTCTAGGGGTCATAGGTCCAAATTTCTATTTGAAGACTCCGCTTAGTGGTGCTCTCGTCCTAGGTGTTTGAATTGCAGGGTGGTTTGTAATTTAGCAGCCGTTTGGAAATTTACACCCCAGGAGACTTGCTTTGTAATGTTATAAATGTTTGGTGCTATTTCTCCCATTTTGTAACTGTCCGATAAATATAAATTAACATCAACACATAATAAAAGTGAAAATTGCTTTCCTGGATTGAATGATAAGGTTTATGCCTGTTGTTTATTTGTTTGTTTTTGAGTGTGTGTGTGTGTGTGTGTGTGTGTGTGTGTGTTTAAAAATTTTTCATTAGAATTGATATTCTATCATTTTCTTTAATGTCATTAATTAATAATCATTATAAGACTTGTTTTTTCTACTCTTGCCCAGTAGATGGTACTGTCAGCTTTATTTTGAAATATTCTGTTTTCAGACTTGATCATTTTAAAATTAATTTCCCCCAAAAAAAGTTAAGTTATTTTTTAGGTCTTTTTCATCCAGTTAACTTGTTGGGATTTCTTAGACTAGCATTTGTAGGTGAACACACTAGGCAGAGTGTACACATTATCTAGAAATTTGTGTCTGCACTATGTAGTAAGGAGAAGACTACTTTCACTTTCCTAAACTAATTCAACTTGTTCAGTCTGAAAAGCATTGAATGATTGTGGACTGTGTGCAGAAAATAATTTAAGGTGCTGTCTTCACCTGGTGGAAAAATAAGACTTTTCTGACTTGAGTCTGAATGTAGTTTGGTAAAAATACTCACTCTACTGGCATGTTGACCAAATTGAGTGTTTGGGTTCGGAAATGGAAGGCCTTTTTAAAATTCTATTTATTTGCATGCTCATATATATTTCTGTGAAAAAATAGCTAAAATTTTTAAGCAAAAAGTGTGTTTTTTTGTTTTTGTTGTTTTTTTTAAAATTACATACATGTTATTTTCAAAACTTGAATGTCAAGAGCAAAACTCTGGCTATCAAATAATAACAACAATGCCAATGCAAAACAACAAAAATGAGAATTCAGAATTATGGACATATTAATATTTTTAGCTACTAAATGAGTCTCTTTTGTTGCTGGTGTAGATTTACTCAGAGTCCTTGGACTTGCTGCACAAGACTTTGCAGAAGACTGGGAGCTAACAGATGCTAGCATGAGCAGGAACATGATTAAAGAAGTAGCTTCCACTTCAGTCTTTAATTTCTTTAGATGACTCCATGTTGACACCTCAGTCCCTTGCGTAGCTTTCAGTTTTCTTCTCCCGCTTTTAAGCAAAAAGTCTTATTATCCCTTTGCATTTTTGTTTTCATGCTCTTCATCACTTGTTAAAGTAAGAAGATCCCTAATGTCATTTTGTTTTATTGGAAAACAGAAGGAATACAGAAAACTTTGAACTTCATGAATGAGAGTAAATCTAGCTGTTTCAAAGAGGATGGGGCCCTTTCAATCTTTAAAACACACACACACACACACACACACACACACACACACACACAAAGAGCCTCTACAACTAGGCTATTACAGAAACATACTATTTGAAGCTTGCCATGCAGAGAGAGGAAATTTTCAATACTTGGAGTCAAAATGTCCCAAAAATCAAATGCCCTAACTTTTTTTTTTTTTTTTTTAATATTTATTAAATTGATTAAGATGACATTGATCAACATGAATAGATAGGCTCCATGTGTGAGTTTTTATGTTACATGGTGCAAATGCCCTTACTTTGTAGTGGTGAAATTGGCCTGGAGCTAGGAGACTTGTTCATAGATACTGCCATCTGTTTGGGAAGACTGGGGGGATGTAGTGGAGAATTCAGAGATAGTGAAAGAAAGGAAATACACCCTTGGTTCCACCTTCCTCCTTCACATCTTGGGATATAATGACATGGATATGCCAGTAACAATTTCTGTCACAGAGATACTCCTTTTCTCCAAACTAGGTGAGACCAATTTATTCCTGGGAAAGCAGTAATTTTGATTATAAAATAAACTGTAATATAAGAAAATAAGTCTTAGCAAAAAACTAGAGACCCGGTGCATAAATTCGTGCCCTGCCCTGATTGGCAGGCCGCAGTGCATGTCATAGCGACTGGTCATTCCGATTGTTCTAGTCATTTGGTGCATATAGATAGATAGATAGATAGATAGATAGATAGATATAGATATATAGATATAGTATTTGAAATTGCAGGCCATATAAGTGAGCTGGCTACTCTACAGGATGGTGCAGGAGGGTTGGTTGTTTATATCCTTAAGAAGTACCTTGCTGTTTTCTTCTATCCTTCTCCAAATTCCAAAATTAGTAAAATGCAAAGGGTTTAATATCGGTAGAAGGCTTATCTATACTAATAAAAGGAAAAGATACTTATTGACTGTACCTTTGCAACACCCATCAGCCATTCAGGAGTGAGTATGCAAATTATCCCAATAAAGAGGCCAGGTTAATTTGCATATGCAGGCACCAAGTGGCTGGGTGCGGGATGCTTGCATTATTACTGTGGCAATGACTCCGGCGTTCCACACCGCCCCAGCTGCTCAGGGCCTCTGGGCAGTGTGGGAACTTGGTGCCAGAGCAGAAAGAGGTGGGACCAGAAGAGAAAGGCAGTACCAGCAGCCAGGGAAAGGAAGGCTCGTTTTTTGTGTGTTTTTAAAAAAATATATTTTATTGATTTTTTACAGAGAGGAAGAGAGAGGGATAGAGAGTTAGAAACATCGATGAGAGAGAATCATCGATCAGCTGCCTCTTGCACACCCCATACTGGGGATGTGCCCGCAACCAAGGTACATGCCCTTGACCGGAATCGAACCCGGGACCTTTCAGAGCATCCGCAGACCGACGCTCTATCCACTGAGCCAAACCGGTTTCGGCTGGAAGGCCCGTTCTTGCATGAATCTTTGTGCTTCTAGTTTAGGTATAATAAAAGCATAATATGCTAATTAGACCAAATATCCTTCCAGACGACCTTCCGGACAAATTCGGGGCTGCAAGGGAAGCTTAGGTCCCAGGTGTTAGAGGGAAGCAGGTGCCAGCAGTAGGGGGAAAGAAGGCCTCCTCTTGCATGAATTTTGTGAATCCGGCCTTTAGTCTAGATAAAATTGTTTTAATTAATTTTTAACACTTTTTTTCTTTTAAAGACTATATGGGCCAGCCCTTAAATTACTGTTTTCTGAACACTTTTGTAAATTTTGCCTCTTTGTCTACCATGTTGTCACTAGTTTCGAGTAAATGAATTTGGAGCCCTGGAAGTTATAACAGATGAGAGTGAGATGGAAAGTGTTAAAAAGGCAACAGCTACCACAACTTGGATGGTGCCAACTGCTCAAGAAGGTAAGAATGGGTGCTCTGTATTGCCATTTCTTTCTTTTGAAAGTTTTAAAATAAGTATATCTAAGGTTTTATTGTAGGCTGGAACCTTGAAAATTCTGGGGACTCTTCATGTCACTAGTGCTTAGGTAAATTTCTGTAACGAAGCAGATGTGGAACTAGCTTTTATATTTTAAAAATAACCATTAACTGTCTTCTCTCCTAATGCCAGATCTGTCATAGCACCAGGTTAATTGGAAATTATCCAGTAAATCCATGTAATAGCCTGCCCAGGTGATTTAGCCAAAAGCCTGACACTTTTTTTTCTCATCTGCTCCGATGGTTGTAACTAACACCTATATGCTGATGACTCCTAAATCTATATCTCCAGCCCCGACCTCTCCCCCGAGCTCCAGGCCCGTATTTCCACCTGCCTACTGGACATCTCCACCCGGATGTCCCACAGGTACCTCAAACGCCACATGTCTGAAATGCAATTCATTTTCTATTTCTTTCTCCCCTCCCCCCAAACCTGCTCTTTCTTCTGTAGCAAATGGTTCAGTTGGTGGTAGCACCAACTACCCAGTTTAAGCAAGAAATCTAGGAGTCATCCTGAGTGTGTTTTCCCCCAGCCCCATAACCTGTTACTTAATCCTCTTGGTTTTTTATTTCCTAAATATGTCTCAGATCTGGCCTTTTCTATCTATTGTCACTGCCACTGGCTTAATTTAGGTCCTTACCAACTATTGCCTGAACTAATGCAGACATCTCTGAAGAATCATTCTGCTTCTAATTCCGCCCAGTTTACCCTGTACACTGAACTTAGAGGAACTTGTGTAGATTGCCTCTCTGACACTTCACCATTCCTTTTTATCTCTAGCAAAACATACAGAGATCTGGGTGGCCTGCACCCACCTGCGTGCTTTATCTCTTTGCTTTCTGTTCTGTTCTTTGTACTTTGTGTTCTGGCAGTGCCAGAGGCACTGAGCTACCTGTAATTCTGCCAAGCACATCCTGTGGCTTCATGCATCCTTGCCTTTGCTCATGCTGTTTCTTCTGGCTGGGATGCTGCTTCTCACTTTGTCCAGTTGGTAAATTCCTCTTTGGCTTTTAAAACCCTGTTGGGGTTTTCTTTCAGAAGATCCTCCCCTGACCTCACCCCAGGCTGAATGACTCACGTCTTCCCCTGTACTACTTCTGGAACCTGTTTGTGCTTCAGTTACTGCATGTGTCCCTTCTTATTACAAATAACGGTTCTCTTACTCGCCCTCTCTTCTAGATTCTGAGCTCTCTTGGGCAAGGGCTGTACTGTCATTTCCAGTGCCTAGCTTAAATTGGTGCCTGATAAATGTTTGCTGAATGAATGATTAGCCTAACGATTCAGGCGACAGGAAGTGTGCGTTCCTGAACGATTTGGATAATTGTGATTTGGGAGATCTGCCGCATTAAAAGTAAAACAGAGAGACATTGATTTAACAAATTTAGTAAAACAAAACTACTCATCAAAATGTAATAAACATGAAATAACATGGAGAACCCTTTTTTAATTTTGTCAAAGACACACCAATAAAATAGGATTGTAAAGATTGACGGTTTAATTTTCTGAATTTAGTGACTGATGAAGTTTTCTTCGTTTTACTTCAAACGCTAGGGAAAAAGGCTTGGACAGGCTTTTTTGTTTTGCAGAATTGTTTTGTTATGTAAATGATTGGAATGATTTCTGCCAAGCTCATCCAATCCTCTTCTCTCTCCCAAATCCTAGAGTTTGAACATTCATTCATTCAACAAACATTCTTTTATTGTGTTGCTAACAAAATTATTAGAAGAAAAAGTTTAAGTGTATTTTGGAATGTGTTCTGCCATGGTTTTAAATTTTTTTTCTCTTCTTTCCATCTTCTAGTTTTTTCAGAGAAGTCTGGGATGCCCTTCAGGTTGAAGGAGCCAGTAAAAGTAGAAGGGCTTTCCTTCTGTGAGAACTGTTGTCAGTATGGCAATGTAGATGAATGTCTTTCTGGAGGAAACTATTGCAGCCAGAATTGTACTCGGCATATCAAAGACAAGTAGGTTTTTGTTCCATTCCATCTGCAGAATGGGTTTTAGAGGCCATGGTCATGGCTCTCTGACATCCATCACCCTTTCATGCCCTTCTTTTTCCCAAGAAATTTCCTGTAGAAACAATGGATCTCCATCTCATTCCTCGGCCTGGAGTCCTCGGTCATGTCTGATCTGAGTTTTATTGCCTGTGTTTCACCTGCAGTACAACTTCTGCCTCCTTCTTTAGCCATTTGTTTACAGGAATTTGATAGTTTCTCTCTTTTTTTTTTTTTTTTTAATATATTTTATTGATTTTATACAGAGAGGAAGGGAGAGAGATAGAGAGTTAGAAACATCGATGAGAGAGAGTCATCTATCAGCTGCCTCTTGCACACCCCCCACTGGGGATATGCCCGCAACCAAGGTAAATGCCCTTGACCGGAATCGAACCCGGAACCCTTCAGTCCCCAAGCTGACGCTCTATCCACTGAGCCAAACCGGTCCCGGCGGGAATTTGATAGTTTCTCAGCTCAGAGTATTTAAAGTTCTCTGGGTCACATACATATTTTGATGATACTGATGCTTATTGAAACGCAATTTTGTTTATTTTTGGAGGGTTCTTAGGTAACTCAGCTAAAACTCTACAAATGGAATAAAGCTGATTCAAATCAACTGAATGAAGACCATAGTGAGTAACATAATGAGTTATGTTACTGATGATTTAGGGGAAGACTAAGAAATACGAGAAATACCCAGCCGGTGTGGCTCAGTGGTTGAGTGTTGACCTATGAACCTGGAGGACACGGGTTCGATTCCCAGTCAGGGCATATGCCTGGGTTGCGGGCTCAATCCCCAGTGTGGACCATGCAGGCAGCAGCCAATCAATAATTCTCTCTCATCATTGATATTTCTATCTCTCCCTCTCCCTTCCTGTTTGAAATAAACTCAATAAAAATATTAAAAAAAATAAATATGAGAAAGTGACATCACTGTGACTGACAGTGGTGTGACTTTGTCATTTGGGGATTATCTGACAGAATTCAGCTTATTACCAAAAAAGATGTATTTCTTGCATATAACTGTATGCCATAAATAAATGACTTGACATTTATATTTCACTGGAGTTTCCCATGTATCTTAATTAGCACAGTCTTGTGAATTGTCTGTTTTTGTTCGCCAACTGATATTTTACAAAGTTACACTTGGCCTTTTTCATTTGGACTTGTTATTCTTAATAATTGATAAATCTTAGTTTTAAAGTTGACCTGAAAACTGAAATATCTTTGAATAATTGATTCTTTTCTTTTTTTTAATTGATTTCAGATAGGGAGAGCGAGAGCGAGAGCGAGAGAGAGAGAGAGAGAGAGAGAGAGAGAAACATCAATGATGAGAGAGAATCATTAATTGTCTGCCTCCTGCACACTCTTACTGGAGATCTAGCCCACAACCGGTCATGTGCCTTTGACCGAAATCGAATCCAGGACCCAACAGTCTGCAGGCCGACGCTCTATCCACTGAGCCAAAGCAGCCAGGACAAATAACTGATTCTTTTATTAGTATGGGTGGCAGATGTGAAAGACAAATTATTTTAAACTTGTGAGAATCTGTTTCACATATAACAGTAGTACTGGTCCCCTTTTGAAATTAACACAGAAGTTAATTTCCATTTTCTAACCATGACAGTGTCACAATACATGATAATGGTTTGACATGTTCCTTATCTATGATAGTCTAATGTCTACACATTTATACTGGTGGTTAAATATTTTTCCTTTGGAGGGTGATGTTTTAAAAGAATTCGCATTGATACTCACCATGTAGATGTTTGATAGGTATTGTTTTCTGTCATTATTTTGGGTTTACAAGCAGCAGAGATCAGAAGGAGGAAAGGGACCTCGGAGAAGACAATGAGGAGGAAGACCCTAAGTGCAGTCGGAAGAAGAAACCGAAGCTTTCTCTGAAAGCAGATTCCAAGGAGGATGCAGAAGAGAGAGATGATGAAATGGTTAGTATCTCTTAGGGGAATACAGGGATATTTCCTAAGTGGGTCGCATTATGGTCAAAGGCACTATCTCTGCAGCTAGTTACTGACTTCAAATGCTGTTTCAGCAGTTCTGTGTTGCCATCAGCACATTATCTACCTACCTTCTCTTCGTTGCTGTCCTCATCTCAAAATGGGAGTTGTAAATAATAGTACCCCTTTCTTAGGGTGAAGAAATAGGAATTCCTGTGCTTATTGCTGGAAAGAGACAACAGTAGACCTTCAGTTTTGACAATGAACTGTTAGTTTCTTTCAATAGCAAGATCCCAGGCCCATTTTGGTAAATTGCAGACAGATCTCATCAAAACTATGTGAATAGAAAGAAAATGGCACATCAGTATCAGGTATATTTAGGGAATACTAATTCAGAGTATTCAAATTAAAACATAAATATCTCATCCCTCAAGCATATACTAATGGTTCTTAGGAAAAAAGAATTTGGAGGTCTTGAGGCATTTTCCTTAAGATCAACATTGAACAACCTTTATTTGCTAGTCACTATTCTAGGAGCTGAGAATGCAGGATGAACAACACAGCAGCAGGACAGGTGTCTACTCTCGGGGACATTACATTCTTACTAAGGGAACATGTAATAAAATAAACAAGAGAAATGCCAGCCTGTGATGCGTGCTTTGCTGAGAATTACAATAAGGCTTGAGGATTGGTCATTTTGAGTTGGGTTGTCAAGGAGGTCTCTCAGAGAAGGTGGCATAAACAATGTGATCTGAATCCTAAAAGAGGAGTCAGCTTGGTGAAGTTAGGAGTGAGGAAAAGCTTAAGGAAAAGTTCCTACAATAATGTGGAGCATGTTTTGTTTGAGGAAATAAAAGAAGACAATACAGTTGAGAGTGGAGTCAGATGAAGCTAAAGAGGTCCAGGCCATGGAGGGCTTTATGGTAAACCAGAGTGATGGGTTTTCATTGTGTTCTGGGTGTGATGGGATGTGATGGGAAGCCATTGGAATGTTAAAGGCAAGGAGACACTGTGATATTATTTATATTTTAAAATGATCACTCTTGCCAAAACTGGTTTGGTTCAATGGATAGAGTGTCAGCCTGTGGACTCAAGAGTCCCGGGTTCAATTCTGGTCAAGGGCATGTACCTTGGTTGCAGGCACATCCCCAGAGGGGGGATGTGCAGGAAGCAGCTGATAGATGTTCCTCTCTCATCGATGTCTCTAACTTTCTATCCCTCTTCCTTCCTCTCTGTAAAAAATCAAGAAAATATATATATATTTTTAAATGATCACTCTAGCTTTGCCAGGTGAGAGCAAAAGTGGAATGAGGGAAACCAGTTAGGATTTTATTGTAGTATACGAGCTAAGAGGGCTGTGTAGGTAGGTTTGTTGGTGTGTGAAGGAAAGAGAAGAATCAGGGCTAGCTCTTAGGCTTTTGGCTTGAACCATTGACTGGATAATGATGCCATTTACTGAAGACTGGAAGGCAAGGCTGAAGTATGGAATCTGGAGTTACTTGGGCATCAGGAGTTTGAGATGCTTATGAGACATCCATGTGAAGATCCAGTAGGCAGGTGTATGCATGAGTGTGGAATATGGACCAGGGATATCTGGTAGGAAGATGACCTTTAAAACTTAGGGAAGAGATTACATAGAGACCAGAAGAGGGCTTAGTTGGAAGAGACACTAGCAAAGGGACTAAGAAGAGAGGCCAGGGAGGTGTGAGGAATATTAGAACAGAGGATCCCAGGAGCTAAGAGAAGTAAGTGTTTCAAGTAGGCGGGAGCAAGATCCCTGCTATTCTACAGAGTTATTCTTGGAAATACTTTTATTTTGTGATGACCTTAGGCCAAAAGCAGCATAGCTCTCAAATTACATATATTCTTTCTTTCCTTAAAACTTAGGAAGTGAAATTGAAGAAAAGTACAAAACAAATAATGCTTTCTGATAGCTCTAACTTTTTATTGGTGCCAGTTTTACAAACTTTGGGGAAAAAAATCATAGTTTTCCTTTCTTATTGTAGGAGAACAAACAAGATGGGAGAATCCTGAGGGCTTCACAGAGAGCCCGAAGGAAAAGACGCGCGGATTCAGCTGTGTTAAAGCAGGGTGAGTCGATGAAGAAAAGGCTTTCCTTGTAACTCTCTGAAACTTAAAATATTCCAGGCGGGTAGACGTTTTAGTCTTAGCAGGAATGCACATTAGGGCAGCCAAGGTATTACTTTGAGATTTCTCAAATTAAATTTTATCAATAAAGATTATCGTTTTGAAGAAGTAGATAAGGGAAACATGGAACTTGGTAACGTTTGAATAGTGTCCGGGCAGACACGAGAAAACCTTACTTTATTTGAGCATCAGGAGGTTTCATCTTTTTCTGCACTTTTGTTAACACCTATGTTCTTGTTCATTTCCTAAGAGTGTGAGTGTTAAGTTTTTAATGTTTTCTCTCAAACCACAGCCTCCTAGTATGGAACCTTTTTTTTTTTTTTTTCCTTTTCATTGTTCTTCTGGTAACACTTTATCCTCATGAGGAATCCAGTCCTCAGGCCCTTCCCTTTAGTACTTGAGCGGATGAACTCCCATCCTGTTCAGCATGGACCTCACGTCATTTCCCTACAGTCCCAGTGTCCTCTGCTGGGCTTCATCCCCCTGGCCTGCCACATCGTCCTGGCCAGTCCTTCACATCAGGTCACTCCACTCGCACAGCTCCACTTCCTCCCCTCCCAGTCATGTTGTCCCTACACATCAGGACTATGACCCCAAGGCTCCTCTTCTGGGATGGATGCATTCCTTGCCTGTTCATCTTTTAAGCCTTGAAAGAAAAGCGTTTGAAACATTTCAACCTGCCTCATGCACACAGCCTAACTTTTACCATTGGTGAAGATGGCTTCTAGTGTATGTCACCGAGATGAAAGGGAATAAATTCTCCGTTACTCAGCACTTTGCCTCGAAGATGTTGTTAATCTCTCTCTCTCCCTTCACCTTCGTTTCTACTCTCAGGGCCCCGTCTCCTGTGGGACCTTGATCCTTTAGTCATTTATTTTTACTCCTTAGCAGTTCAGACTTTTTTTCTCTTCCTGAGCTCCAGCTTAGCTGATTCAGATCTCATCCTTAAAATACCTTTCCCCCAATTTTGTGACCTATCCAGCTATTGCATTTTCCTTTTATTTTCCATTATTTGCCAAGTTAATCCCAAATAAAATTGATTTTAGCTGGCACCATATCTTTACCACATATATTCTTTTGCTGCTCAAAATCTGTCCCTCACTGAATCGATTTTCTTCCCTTTCACCCTAATTGGTAGCCATTCCCTAACCACTCAGTGCACTGGCCATTTTTAGTTTACAACGTCTAGTCCTCTTAGTTTTGGAGCATCCTATCCTTAGAAGCACCTGCTTCCTGTAGCTTCCACCATACCCTTCTGTCGTGGCTTCCTACTGCGTCTCCTTTCTTTGCTCTGAGTTCTCCTGAGTCTTCCTTCTACCCTCATCGCTGCAGATAACACTGCAGTTCACTGTGTGTCTCCCATTTCCTTGGAAGAGGAGCCAAGGGAGGAGACTGAGAACCAGCTGTGGTAGGAAGAGAAGAGCCAGGCCTCGTGAGCAGTTAGGGAAGTGAGCGTTCACAGTGCACATCTGTGAATGCTTTAGACTTGGAGATTCTGTCATTTTAATCTCACTTGCCTTTCAGGTTTGCCTCCCAAAGGAAAGAAGGCCTGGTGCTGGGCATCCTACCTGGAAGAGGAGAAGGCCGTGGCCGTGCCAACGAAGCTGTTCAAGGAGGTGCGGCCCCTCTGGAGCGGCTGCACTGTCTGGCATCAGCACTCCCATGTCCGCTGTCTGTTTAGCACCTGTGACTTGGGATGGTTTCTCAAGCATGTTGTTTTGCATGTGTGTGCTTATGTGGAGGGGTACCTGCAGGGCCAGCTAGCGTTAACACATGACACCGCCCTCTCTCCCAAGCTGTGTGCGTGGGCACACCGCTACACACATGCTCTTTTCTCTCAGCACTTCACCAGCTTTCACTCCATTTTAAGAGGTATTTTTGCTACTGCTAAAAAACTAGTAGGTAAAAGAAAAACTGGCGTGAAATTTCATGTCAACATGATAGCTTCGGGAGAACAGAATGAGTTACTGAGGTTTACGTAATATCACAACAAAAATCTAAAAATGAATTACTATATTTTATTAACTACAATCATAAGTAATTCAAAATCAGTTAAAGGTATAGACGCCAAGTGTAGTTCTAGCTAGGAGCTGCTGCACCTGGGCTAACGGGTTAACAAACTTTTCCTGTAAAGGGCCAGAGAGCAAGCATTTTAGGCTTTGTGGGCACCTGGGCTCGGGCGCTCCAGCTAAGCTCGGTAGCTGTCTGGAAAGCAGCCATAAACAGGATAGAGGTGAATGAATATAGCTGTATTCCAGTAAAACTTCACTTACAGATGGTGGCCTAGATTTGACCTGTAGAATATAGTTTGTTGACTCTTGGCTTAAATTATATAATATTAAATCACAGTATATAATAAGTCTGCCATCAATATATTGTTAAATATATAGGAACTTACAGATTTTTTAAAAAGTATGACAAGTAAATATTAGGATGAGTTCTCTACAGTAACATTTAATTTACTAGTAAGCAGTATTCTATATAATTATTTACTGTAATTTTGTTCCTTCGAGGAATAACCTTTTTAACATTAAAAAAAAAAATTATGTATAGGCCTGGCCAGCGTGGATCAGTGGTTGAGATAAGCAATGCATGTAAATCCAAATCCTCTCCTCTTAAACCAAATGATAACATATGTCACTCATATTGTTGTTTGGACTTTGCTTTTTTTGTTAACTTAATTTGGAAATTATTCCATCTCAGTTCATTCTTTCCTTTATCATCCTATGATATTAATGCATAAAATGCAATCTTACATCTGTTCCATAGTAATTTAAGCTTCCCCCTATGGATCGACATGTAACATATTAACATACACGACACACACATATATGATATATATGTCAACTTTTATGGGGCACCTTAAGTTATTATAGATTAGACATAAAAAGGAATACTATATGTACATATGGAAGATAGATACACAAATCTTTTGCCATGTAAATGTCTTAATGAATAATTGTGTACACCTGCCATTTTGCACATGTGGTTATCTCTGTTGGATAATTTCCTAGAATTAAAATTGCTGAGCTGAAGAGAGTGCTCTTTTTTTAATAGATATCATCAGGTTGCGATTTACTATACATCCTTACTAGTGATGTGTGTATGCATCTGTTTCTCTGGAGTCTTGCCAACAGTGTTATCAAACTTTTTTTTTTATCATTACCAACCTGACAGGTGAAATACATTTTTTGTGTAATTTTTATATGACTTTTATTAGAGTGAGGTTAAGCATCTTTTCTAATATGTAAAACATTTAAATTTTCTTTCCTGTGACCTCTTTGTAGTCTTTATCCATTTTCCATTGGATCATGAGGTGATCCTTGTCTTTTGAATTTTTACAAGCTATTTATTTGGTTAAAGACTTTATTTAAGAATGGTAATTATCATAATTTTGATGAATCATTCAGGATAAAAATACTAAAACTGCTGTCATTTTTTTCATTGTAGTATCAATCCTTTCCATATAACAAAAATGGGTTTAAAGTTGGCATGAAATTAGAAGGCGTGGACCCTGAGCACCAGTCCGTGTACTGCGTCCTCACAGTGGCTGAGGTAAGCTTTATTTTTAAAATAAAATGGTGACTGTGGAGTTTTCATAATGGGAAAAGATGCTTTGAAGATATGCAAAGCTCAGGCTGCTCCCAGGTCATGATCTGTGGACTTCTCTGGGTCTGCACCAGCCTTGGTCTGGCAGGATACCACCGTGTGTGGCGCTTCGTGAAGGACAAGCAGCCGGCACGCAGTGTGCAACGGGGCAGGTGTTCTGGGACTGCGGGAGCCGTGTGGCTGTGCGGGGCCAGCTGCTTCCATGCCAGCCCCCCACGGTGATGCGCGAATGAGAGGGGATGTGGACATGTGGGAAAAGTGTTTTTCATCTCATATCCATCCGTGCTCCTGAGTAACCAGGGATGAAGCCAGAACACTGCAGCCCAGCCTTCCCCATCTACAGAAGAGCCTTGGCCTTTGGATTTTGTCGGGTGTTTGCTGCTGTTAATGAGATGCTTTGATGAACAGAAGCGGTATCATGCTGGATGTCCATGCACACCGCATTCTGCATGTGTTTTTTGTTTTTTAATTCATCAACCGTCACCTATTCCAGGTTTGTGGATACCGGATAAAGCTGCACTTTGACGGGTATCCTGATTGCTATGACTTCTGGGTTAATGCAGACGCTCTGGATATTCACCCAGTTGGGTGGTGTGAGAAAACTGGCCATAAACTGCACCCTCCCAAAGGTAGTGTCACTTGTTGGTTTCATATTTTAAATTCTATAAAAACATTTTTTACCTGTTGATTTGGAATTTTTAAGAATTCAGGCTCTATAATTCAGATAGGTCCAAATTCTAGCTTGATGAACAAATACATTCATTAGAGAGAAAGGAAAAAAAAGTAGAATCCTATTCAAGAGAATAAACTATGTCCTTGTCCTTATTTGCATATAAAATAACATTTGCAAGATACTTAATTTTGACTTTATTTTGAGTACAAAAAAATTTTAGCTAAAGATTGCCGTTTCAAATATATATATATATATATATATATATATATATATATTTGAAAAAGCTGATTTGAAAAATTACTTCTAACTTGTTTACAAAATTGTTTACTTATTCATATTTTAATGTATATGAAATTTCAAGAAATCATGCATTGAATATATAGATGACAATATTTAGCAGATTGGAAAAGACAATATAACACTAAAAATTGGTTTAGACGGTGGTTGAACTAATAGTAATTTTTTTTTATTATTGAGTTCTTTACAGTCTGCCAATAATTTTGCCTGTTTCATGTTTACATAAAGATCTGAGAACAGCCGAAACCGGTTTGGCTCAGTGGTAGAGAGTCGGTCTGCGGACTGAAAGGTCCCTGGTTCGATTCCTGTCAAGGGCATGTACGTTGGCTGTGGGCACATCCCCAGTAGGAGGTGTGCAAGAGGCAGCTGGTCGATGTTTCTCATCGATGTTTCTAGCTCTCTATCTCTCTCCCTTCCTCTCTGTAAAAAATCAATAAAATATATTAAAAAAAAAAAAAAAAAAAGATCCAAGAACAACAGATACAATCTTTCAGTCCATTTCTATGTTTAATAATGGCATATTTCCTTCCTTTTTCAGCTATTGCAATAGTAGTGTTAACATGATACAAAAGATCCCTGTTACTAGTTTGATATTTTGGACCTGTCTCACAGTTATTGTTTTTTAATAGCATCCTTTGGTTGTAAGTGAAAAATTGATGGCAGGATGGTATTTTCAAATAGCTGAGGGATTAAACAAAAACATACAGAAAAAAATGAGGATAAAAAAGAATTGACTTTATATGAATTGACTGCTTATATATGGTGACTTATTAGCTGTTCTTTTCATGCTTTTTAATGGGAGTAGCAGAGAACTGATAAGATAAAATGCTAAATTTCCTTTCTGTAAGGAAAGGTTGGCTTTATCAACATTAAGCATGAAATTGTGAAAATTAAGGCAGGGACATTTCCATTATTCTAATTTACCAACATGCTTACTTCATAAATCTTGAATTATCAATCCTGTGGTGATAGGCCAAAAAGATTTCATCTGTTGTATTACTATTTTTCCAGCTTCCCATTAGTTCTTACAAGTTAGTCTCCCGAAATAGAATAGGTAAGAGAAAAATAAAGAATTTGACTACTCCAGGTCACTACCCTACTGTTCTACCTAAATATTGATAGAAATGCCCGGTAATAAAAGAAGCGTACCTAAGTATAATATGTATTTACTTCCTTACACCTTTTCGTTATATCCATTACTATTTATTCAGAATTGAAAACAGTATAATTTGTTGTAAATAAACACAACCTGTGTATGAAAATGCATAGTTGTGAATTATGATTTAAATTTTTTCTGTTTAAAAAAACCACTTGGCCCTGCCAGTGTGGCTCAGTGGTAGAGTATCAACCTATGAACCAGGAGGTCACAGTACCATTTCTGGTTTGGGCACTTGCCTGGGTTATGGGTTCGATTCCCAGGGCAGCCAATTAGTGATTCTCTCTCATCAATGTTCCTGTCTCTTTCTCCCTCTCCCTTCCTCTCTGAAGTCAATAAAAGTGTATTTTAAAAACAATGACTTGATCTGATTTTCGCATGTTTGAATTACAGATAAAAGTGGGAATGGGCCCCAGCTGGTTTGGCTCAGTGAATAGAGCACAGGCCTGTGGACTGAAGGGGCCCAGATTCAATTCCAATCAAGGGCACATGCTCAGATTGCAGGCTCAGTTCCTTGTAGGAGGTGTGCAGGAGGCAGCCAATCAATGATTGCCTCTCATCGTTGATGTTTCTATTTCTTTCTCCCTTCCTACTTGAAATCAATAAAAAAAAAAAATATTTTTTTTTTTAAAAGTGAGAATGGAAAACTAAGTGTGAAATATTTTGCTATGTCACTAAGTCTGTTTATATGTTCTTGCTCTAGGTTATAAAGAAGAAGAATTTAATTGGCAGATTTACCTGAAGACATGTAAAGCTCAGGCTGCTCCTAAGTCATTATTTGAGAATCAGAATATAGTAAGTACATCCAAAATACTTTTTCTTAAAAAAAAAAAAAAGTGGCTGTTGTGTGTAGGATAAATTCCAAGTGAGAGCAAGAAACTATAACAAATTTTATTGCTTTGGTAAATAGAGTACTCTTACCCTTAATTAAACTTTAAAATTAGCTTAAAATCTTCCTAAGTAAACTTTTTTATAACCATATCATGGTTGTCTTTTTTTTATTGAATAGTAGCAGGCAACATAGTACAAAATGCAGGTGTAATTTACAGTTAAGGTGCATAAAACAGTAAATAGATGGGATACTTTATTGTTACTGTCATCTGCTCAGGGTACTGCAGCAGTGGGATTCACATGGTGAGACGAGCGGAGCCCTGTTTGGATTTGTATGCTAGAGACTATGATTCTCCTTCACCCTAGCTTCTAGCTTTATTTTCAGTGTAACGGCAGCACCACCCGATGTGTGTGTGTGCTTTCTCCTCCTTGACCTTTATTACTACTTTCCATTACATTTGACATCTCTGAGGAGGCCTGATACCTTACATTCTTCTTCCTGGCCCAAGTTCTGATCAAATTGGAAAGAACAGAGAGCAATCAGGTAGAAAACCAAAATATTGTCTTTGCAACCCTTTGTAAGGGTTCAATTGCGTGCCCTATATCTGCTATCAAATGAGCTTCTTGGTTCTGAACCCTAGAATTAAAGAGATTTTCTGGCCCTTCCTGCCTCACCACCCAAACCCAGGAGCATTGGACCAGGGCATACACACCCTCCCACACTTAGAGTGTGACCTGTTCCTTCTTGCAGATCCATTAGGTAACAGCGAGTGAGAATGTGGAAAGAGGCAGTAATGTTTCCATAGCATTCCCTCCAAATGAAAAGATATTATATATGAGGATTAGAGACGTTCTTCCCACCCCCGTCCAAATGCCCTCCATTTGGGAAATGATTTTAACCTGTTGTTTTCAGCATCAATGGAATGGCTACTAGATTCTCTGATCAAACTAAACATAAGCCTGGCCGAATTAGAGAACTGAAGGGTGTGTGTAATAGAAATCAAATAAGCCACGTTAATATTTTAAATCAGCTTAATTGAGAGGATAACTTAATTGCTGGAATGTAAATTCTGCATTGTTAAGAGGTATTTTCTGTCAAGACAAGGGCAGTTAGGTGGAAGCCCCAGTGGCCTGCTCTCACTACTCCCAAGTTTCCTCTACCCTGCCTGCTTCTCTGATGAAGACTTCAGTTGGGGATTTGATTAACTGCTTTGAACCGTCTTCTTAAATTCTGTGCTTTGCTAGCACACAACTTAACCTTGGGTTATGTGATTGGTATCTAAGAAGCAATTAATTTTTGTAGTTTCCTCTACCTTAGAATACTCAAATATTTATGGTCAGATCTCTGATAGATAATTTCAGGACTTAAAAGTATGCTACAAAGTATCTTTGTAGCATTAGTGACTGCTTCTTCAATTCAGCCAGGACTAAATTCTAACATTTTCAGGTACTGGGCCATCTACAGTATGTAATGACAGTGGTGTATTTATACTAAAAAGAGAGACAGCATCTATTTTGCTTAAAATAATTAAGATAGTATCAGTATTTTTCAGTCTAGACAGAAGGATTTTATTGTTATTTATTTTTAATTATATTTTTATTGATTTCAAAGAGGGCGGGGGGAGAGAGAGGGAAAGAAACATTAATGATGAGAGAGAATCATTGACTTGCTTCCTCCTGCATGCCCCATAATGGAGATCAATCCTGCAACCCCGGCATGTGCCCTGACCTGGAATTGAACTGTAACCTCCTGGTTTCAAGGTCAACGCTGAACCATTGAGCCACGCTGGCCGAGCAGGGGATTTTATTTTTAGATGGTCAGAAGGATTGTGATGGGCGTAATTGATGCCCAAGTACACTTCCTGAGAATACTATTTTCCCTCACAAAAGATTATAAGGAAAGTTTACATTTTACTGCCCTTTAAGCACTAAATTTTATTGAGTTTTTTATTATCGTAGGTCCATGTCCCAGATGGCTAATAATTTGTGGATTTCCTTATATTACAAACTATTGAATAAATAGCTATATATATATATATTAACAGCCAGTTCATTTATGAAGATGACCTACTTTCAGTACTCTTTTGAGAAATCTTTTCAGAAGTGGGAGTGAATACACATTTTTTAACTTACTAAGTGCGTATTTCGTGTGAAATAACTTTCATTGTTGACTCTATAATCAAGGAAGAGAAAAACAGAAAGGGAACTTACTTGGTGAATCAGACTTGCCTAACTAATATAATCGTCTAAGGTACCAAAACACACGTTAATATTAATTAAACTCTGAGAGGCTGAGGGTGTTTTAGTTTTGAGTTCCCCATAGTTAATTGGGACAGTTAATTGGGTGTAGCAACAGGGCATTTTTCTTACTGTTCCTGTTGGAAAGTGACCCTGCTGTAAAGCTGGTGGTTGAGTCTTAAATGGTGTGAAGACAGCTGGTGGATGCCAGGCCTTCACCCAGAGGTGCAGGGAGGGTGCCGGCTCACCGATGAGTGTGTGCTTATCTCTAATTAAATCTGTGTGTTTCATAGACCGTGATCCCATCAGGCTTCCGAGTTGGAATGAAGCTTGAAGCTGTAGACAAAAAGAACCCTGCATTTATCTGTGTTGCTACGGTAACAGATATGGTGGACAATCGTTTCCTGGTACATTTTGACAACTGGGATGAGAGCTATGACTATTGGTGAGCCATTTTTCCATTGCAGTGTGTGCTTTTTCTAATTTAGTGTTTATCCAGGTAAACCAGGTGCATGGTTTAAAAACAATTGCAATCTGAACAGAAAATAATATGCTGCCCCACTCTTTTCTACTTCAGATCTTTAACTTTTTCCTGTACCCTACGGCATGTATTTCTAAATAACATCCTCCAGTTCTACTTTGTGATTCGTCTTTTAGTTGGCTTTCTGCTGTGGAAGTGCGGTTTGCATACTCTATCCCAACAAATGCTCACACGTGACCCACATAGACTCACAGTTTCCTCCTTCAGGCTTAGGTGTCATCCCTTATTTTTTAGAAAACTATTTTCATCTCTCTCTCATATTTTTATGTCTGTAGCTAATTTAACCATTTACAATAACTGAATACAAATATAGTAATTGAGGAATATTTTTTCATTCTTATTGTGTTTGGATATACTACATAATGTAGCAGGAGCAACATATTATAATTATAAAATAAGTAGTGGCCTGGTGCACGAAATTTGTGCACATTAAAAGGAGATTAATTAGAGGAAATATTTTAATATTGCTATTTGCCTTTTTTCTGTAATGGAAGTGTCAGAGATGAAAGAACATCAGTAAAATGTATATGAAAATTGCCCTCCTATCAGAGTCTGGGGCACACCAAGGGACCCAGAGTCAAGTCCCCGCCACCACCCACCCGTGCTTCAAAAACACAGGAGATCCAGACCCCGCCGGCCCCCACCCCCGTCAAGCCCCTCTGGGTGGCCTCAGGTCCCCTGTCAAGCCCCACCAAACAGGGGGCGCAACCTCAGGTCCCCCAGCCCAATGCTGAGGCAGGGGGCGCAGCCTGAGGTCTCCTGGCCAGGCACCGGTGTGGGTGGGTGGTGTAACATAAGATCTCCCAGCCTGGGACCAAGGTAGGGGGACACAGCCTGAGGTCCCCCATCAAGCCACTCAGGGCAAGGGACACGGCCTCAGGTCCCTCTCCCTGGCCAGGTGCCATTCAGCCCAGGGTCCTGCTGTTCAGTTGTGACTTTACTGTGTCTCAGCTAATTTGCATATTCCTCTATTATATAGATAGATTATATAGATAGGGAGATTATAATAAAGCCATTATATTTTGATTAAGTAATTGAAGTAATGATTTTCCATATCCAATTCATGTTCGTTGATCATTATAATTCAGTTTCCTGATGAAAAGCATTTCTGAAGTGTTTAGTTCCTTCTATAGAAAACTTGAAATGATAAAATTTTAGAGAAGTGATAAGATATCTCGGATTCTTAGATATTCATCAGTTTTACTGCATTAGTTTTAAAAAGAGATAGTGAAAGTCATTTTTGCTATTTGATTTAAAAAATCCTTTTTATTATATGTTACATATGCTTTCTATAGAATTTTTTAAGATATAGATAATTGCCGGGACCGGTTTGGCTCAATGGATACAGTGTCGGCTTGGGGACTGAAGGGTCCCGGGTTCGATTCCGGTCAAGGGCATGTACCTTGGTTGCGGGCATATCCCCAGTAGGTGGTGTGCAGGAGGCAGCTGATCGATGACTCTCTCTCATCGATGTTTCTAACTCTATCTCTCTCCCTTCCTCTCTGTATAAAATCAATAAAAAATATATATTTTTAAAAAAAAAAGATATAGATAATTGTGTGTTTACATCACAGAATCAATTACTTTGAACATCTGGTGTGTTTTTCCGCAGATTTTTTTCTGCAAAGCATAATAATTTTTCCTCAGTGGATATCTTTTTATTCAGTTTGCAATGAAAACCTTTGTTGAAATATAGACCATTTCAAGCATGTACAAAAGTAGAATAATAGAATGACCCTCTTGCCACCATTACACAGCACCAGCACTTACCAATTTATATCCACTCATGTCTTCTCTGCATTCTTACTCCTAAAATCTCAATTCCAGGATTGTTCTAAAGCAACTTCCAGATATCATAACATATCATCTATGAATATTTCATTATGCAACTTCTAAAGATAGATTCTTCTTTTCTAAATATATAATGCTATAAATGCTATCATGTCACTAAATGCAAGCATTCCCCCCAATTGTGTTGGGCTTTATTTTAGTTTGATGGTCCTAGGTTCAAATGAGGTGTATACTTTGTGATTTCTTGGATTTGCCTCTTTGATTTTTTTTTTTAAACATGTTTTTATTGATTTTAGAGGGAGAGGTAGGGAGACGGGGAGAGAGAGAAACATCAGTGTGAGAGAGAAACAGCAATCAGCTGCCTCCTACTGGTGATGGAGCCTGCAACATGCGCATATACCCTGGCCAGGAATCAAACCAGCAACCTTCGATATAGGTTTTGGCACTCAACCAACTGAGCCACACCAGCAGGGCCTCTTGATCTTTTCTCATGTATAGATTCTAATTCCTCTGTATCTTTTCCTTCTCCTTATAACTATTACTGAAGAAGCCAGGTTGTTTATCCTATTGAGTCTCCCACAGTCTGAGTTTGCTGATTGAATCCTTGTCATGTTGCTTACCATGTTTTTCTGTTCTTCATATTCCCTGTAAATTGGTGGTTTTGTTTCACTTAAAATTATCTGTATTGATCTTCAGTGAATGAATGGGTGAGAAACTGTAAATTTAGAAATAATGTCAGTCTGTCCCTTCTGGGTCATATATTACGTGTCTCCCCACCTGTGTTTGATGTGCTGTGATGATGACAGTACCAATGTGATGACAAGGGTCTAGTCCTTGGCTTACTAAATGAAACTTTAAAGCAATTATTAGAGGGATTGAGCAAAAAAGAAAAAATAAGAGAGAACTCATTGTCATGGACAACAGTGTGGTGATTGCGGGGGTAAGGAGTGGTGGAGGTGGAAGAGGACAGAGAGAGGATAATGATGATGGAAAAAATAAAATGACCTGTTGAAATGAGAGTTTTTTGTTTTTGAAGTTCTGATTCATTTAGGGAGAATGGTTTTGTTTTTAGGTTTTGCCTGAATGTTTAGTTATTTTTGTGGTCTTATAAGTATTACAAGGTTTTTAAAGTGTAAGTTTATTTGATATAAGATCTATTTGATATACTTCTGGATAATAGTGATGAGGAAATCTAGAAGAATTTGTCACAGTCACTTTTCTTTGATGCCTAGAGAGTAGAAGAAATCAGTCCTTTTTTAGAAAGAGCAGAGAAAAAAGAGTGATCTCTCGTAGCTCTGATTTTGTACTTTTAAGAGCACAAAATAATCATTTTTAGGATGGAATGTACTCTGAAAATTTACTTATACTTTTAACTGTTTATATGAAATTATATTTTGTTAATTATCAGAAAGAATACAGTGTTCTCTTCCTTAATATGCAATTGAGGCATATTGAAAGTTGCTTAAGTGCGCTGGAATTTCTCCAGCCTTATTAAATACTAGAGGCCTGGTGCAATTAAATACTACAGCCTGGGAGCTCTCAAGGGCGGGAGGCGACCTGGTGATCAGGAGAATGCAATGTCCCCATTACACCTCTGCTGCTGCCACTGCTGGCAGCACAAGCCTCGGCCAGCCCTGGTTACCTGAGCCTTGGGTGATCCTGGACGGCTGGGCAGCTGCCATCTGAGGCTTGCCTGCACCTTGGGCAGGCCCTGGAAGTCTGGGGGGCTGAGGGGCTGAGGGGATAGGGACTCCGGAGGCAGGTGTGCGGAGTGGCTGGAAAGAGGGGAGCTATCCAGACTGTGGACAGTTAGGGACACCAGGCTAACCTTAAGATATTGTAAGATAAACTCTCTTTCCTCTCAGCCTGAAGAAAATGAAGAAATTAAAGGAAAACACACTAGGGTAATGAGATGGCATCTTTATATTTCCCTATTGGGATTTTTAGTTTTTGGGTGGTTTTTTGTTTTTTGTTGTTGTTTGTTTATATATTTGTTTTAGAGAGAGTGTAAGGGAGAGGCAGAGAGAAACATCGATGTGAGAGAGAGACATGGATTGGTTGCCTGCTGCATGCGCCCCGACCAGGGCCAGGGATTGAGCCTGCAGCCAAGGTACACGCCCTTGCCCAGAATCAAACTGGGGACCCTTCAGTTCACACTCCAACACTCTATGGCTTACCCCTGGGTTTCTGTTTAATTCTGTACAGATTCTAGGGCCCAATCGAGTTTTAAGAAGGAAATGCATAATACTGAAAACAGCTGGTGTGGGGAATGGGATTGGAAATGAATTGGGGAACAAAGGAGGACTCGCTGACTCAGCCTCATGAGGTCCAGGGGTTGGTAGTAAGACGGAGTGATGGAGGCTCTGCAGAGTCAGCACATGTGGGAGCCAGGAAAGTATGGCACCGGAAAGTAAACTGACAGTCTCGTGCTCTGGGTGTAGGGAGTGGGAGAGCCAAGTGTCCTGTGTTTCTTCAAGAAGCTAAACCATTATTGCTTGGAATGAGGACTTTGATGTTTTCCTTATGTAAGTGTCTTGAAACTGTTTTTGTCTCTCTGCCCACATCTGTGGAGCCCAGTGCTTGTGTGCATTGGTTTTATTTAGCTTTTGGCTGTGCCCGATAAAACCAGGGTCTTTTTCTTTCCAACATGAGGACGTGGTGAAATCATTTAACCTCTTTCTATTTCCATAAAATAAGGATCTTAATGTCTGCTCACTCTATCCTTATAATATAAACATGGGTTTTTTCATAAATTATTATTTATGAAATATCTGCCAGTCTGGGTCTGATTGGATCTTAGCAGCCTTCATTCTTGATTAGTTTGCACTTACATGTGAAATGGACTTCAAAAGTTTTTTGAAGTGGATTTCTTTAATGACATACTTTACACCCTTCCCCCCCCCCCCAAAAAAAAAAGGAAGGAAGGAAGGAAGGAAGGAAGGAAGGAAGGAAGGAAGGGGAGAGGGAGATACAGCAATTGAAGATTTGGCAAACTTTTTTTACATTAGCTATTTTTCATTGTATTTCTTCTTGGTTACATTTCTGCTTTTGGACACTAGATGGGACTAAGATGACTTGTGTTACAATAGTAGCAGAAAGGATTCCGCAGCATTCCGATTTCTGAATGAAGTCTTGTCTGCTTATGGAGAGAGTTTAAGTAAACTAGTAACACATAGGGCTGTTTTCATTTTCTTTGTGACATGAAATTATGGCTTCCTTGTTTATGTTAAATGGTGACTTTGATCAATATTTAGGTAACATTAAAACCTTATTATATAAGATTCAGGTAGTTTAGGAATACATGGCCAAAACATACCACAGTATTTTTCTTATTTGCAACTTACAGAGAAACCTAATAGAAAAATCAAAAGAATTAGTAATGTCTAATGCTCTTACTTTAATCACCATGAGCCTGGCAGATAATTATAAAAAGTCCTTGATAATTACATTGGGAAGAAAAAGTTAAACGAATGTTACATATTTCTTTTGTTCTTGTTTCTTTTCTCATTTTAAATGAGCCCTATATTAATTAACAGCTGTCCCTAAAATAAAAAGCTTCGTAAAATAAAGGTAATGTATCATTACTAATAATAGCCAAATGATTATCTTGGAAAAAAGAATAGCATAACTGGAAATAGTGCTCCACAGCTTTGTCTATACAGTTTATAACAATGCATCTAAAGGAATTGTGTAATTAAAATATACTTTATGAAAATATGTATTGTGAGGGATGTCTCAGTTGCTGTAGGAACTTGTATGCCTAACAGTGCTTGTTTTCCTCTCACATTTCTAAATATATCTGTAACCCTATAACTGTAACCCTCATGTATAGGTTAAGAAAAATAATACTGTTCCCTGGTGGATAGCTCCAGTTGGTAGGAGTGTCATCCATACACCAAAAGGTTGCAGGTTTGATCCCCGTTGGGGGCACGAAAAGGAGGTAGCAGATTGATATTTCTCACATCAGATGCCCCCCCTTCCTCCCTCCCTCTCTCTCTCTCTCTCTCTCTCTCTCTCTCTCTCTTTCTAGTAATCAATAAACATATCCTTGGGTGTAAGGATTAAAATATAAATTGTGTGGGGAAGGGTGGGTAGGAGATAAGTGAATAAAGGAAGAAAAGAAAAAACTTTAATTATACAATTAAAGAGATTTTCTACTAAAATAATTTCGAGAAAAATCAGCATTTAGTTGGGTTTACATAAACGCACCTTCGGTTACTTTTCACGGTTCACTCAGAAAGGTTGATTTGCAAAGTGGTGCCTATATGTTAATGTAATTCATTTAAATTCTTTCTTAGAAAGTTCTTTATTTTTATTGCTTGGAAGACTTTTATTCTCCAGAAACTCCAACCACCATTACCTTCTTGTCTTTCTATCTTCTAGTTCCCCGTCTAGAGGACTGGGTTGAGATGTTCTGATCTTTCAGGGTGGCTCAACAGATCTGGTTTATAAAGCCAGATCGGAGTCTTTGGCATCCTTGATCCACATTTCCTAGATTGTGTTCTGCAGAACATTGCTGTTCCACACGATGCTAACTGGTTGAAGTTGCATTTCACAGTGAAATATCTTTAGGAAATGCTGGGTTAAGTCATTTGAAACTGGTTTGTTTATAACATAACTTCACAGTCCAATATGCTAATGATATGTTATATAAATTTCTAAGAGGGAGATGTACTATTTTCCTGAAGTATTTTGACTTTGATTTTTTTTAAACTTCATGCCTATTATCTTTGAGAATATAGATGGGAAATGTTCTACCAATTTTTAAAAGAAGATATTGTGATATGCTTCTATATAACTATCTATTTTGTAATGCTACTAGAAGCCCGGTGTACAAATTTGTGCACCAGTGAGGTCCCTAGTTCTTGGCCTGAGGGATTGGACTGAAACTGGCTCTCCGACACCCCCTGAGGAGTACCAGATTGCAAGAGGGTGCAGGCTGAGGGGCCCCATCAGTGCATAATCAGGGCCAGCAAGGGACATGGGAGGTTGGTCAGCCAAGGAGGGACCGTGGAAGGGTTCCTGGGCATGTCTGGCCCATCTCACTCAGTCCCAATTGGCTGGACCCCAGCAGCAAGCTAAGCTGCCAGTTGGAGTGTCTGACCTCTGGTAGTCAGTGCACATCATAGCAAACCGTTGAATGGCCTTCGCATATCATATCATTTTATGCTTTGGTTGGTTGAACAGACGATGGGACACTTAGCATATTATTATGTAGGATTATAGCTACTTCCGTGAATATTGTGTTAGCCTAGCAAGATCCCAACTCTGGGTGCATCCAACTTTCTGCCTGCTGTATGCCTGTGCCTAGGCAATTGAGTATAACTGGAGATAGAGGCGCACACACACCATACTGATTGGTTTGACCTCACCTTCAAGACCGCTAACCTCAGGTGGGCCCTTAGTTCTGCCCTATAATTCTATGACAAATCCTTATGCAGTCTCCCAGACCACTAAATTTCACTTCTATTTTTCCCCCCTCAGATTCCTCACACCCCCTTACCTATTCTCTCTCTCAGCTGGTAATCTTGCTTCCTATTGCATTGAGAGAAAGGACACAGTCAGAAGGGATGTTCGGTGCTTCCAATATCTTGTCTGCTGGGTATCTTCCTGATCAATGCCCACAGACAGGCCCTTCTCTGTTTCTGGGTGATGCTTCAATGCCCTCACGCGTAGTATCCCCTTCCTTCCCTGAGTCGGTTGTTCTGCATCAGTAGGTCACCCTTGTCTATTGAATTATTCCTACAGTACCCGAGTGGAGCAGGGGTTTTTGTTTATTTCCACAGCTATTGTAGTCTCAGCACCTTGGATGGTGCCCTGATCATGGTGGTTGCTCAGGGTATATTTCTTGAATAAATAGAGTAATGTTTTCCATCCTTTCAAAAAAAAAAAACAAACAAAAAAAAAAACACGTTATTTTGAAGTCATTCTACTAGTAAACTTCAAGTTTGTAAAATAGAACAGAGAATTTCCATATGTGCTTTGTCAGCTTCCCCTAAATATTTCCCAACATAAGAAACAAAAAACAAGCTTCCCTTTTGCTATCCATTGTCTCAAAGCTCCGCTTCCTTTAAGAACAGAACTCCTAAAGCCTATTTTCTGTCCTGGCGAGTCTCCATCTTTTCTTCCTCTTTTTACACCCACTCTAGTCAGGCTTTTGCCCTTTCCTAGCCCCGGTTCCCCTAAAACGGCTCTTACCAGGGACCCTACTAATGGCCTTTACATGCAGTGATCAGTTCTTGGTATTAATATATTAGGTGAGTAAAAGATCCTTTGGTTTAGCGATTTCCCCCCAAATAAGATCTATTGTAATAAATGGTTCACGATCTCTAATTACTGTTTTTCTACTTTTGCTAGTACTTGACGACTTACCCCGATAGTTACAATTTTTAAATTTATATAATCCACAGGTGTGAAGCATCCAGCCCACACATCCATCCCGTTGGTTGGTGTAAGGAACATAGAAGAGCCCTTATCACTCCTCCAGGTTGGTGTCTACTGTACATCTAAGATTGTTCCCATAGACCAGAAGTCGGGAAACGTTTTCTGTAAAGGGCCAGATAGTAACTGTGTCTGACTTTGTAGGCCGTACAGTCTCTCTCGCAACTATTCAGTTGAGATGAAACACAAAGGCAGCCACAGACAGCATGTACGTGAGTGAGCATGGTTGTGCTGCAGTAAAACTGGATTCGCAAAAAGAGGCCACCCGCCTGCAGGCAATAGTGTGCTGACACTCGATAACTTGAAAGTATAGAAGTGTGCCTTAGCCTCCAGGTTCCCCACCTTTGTCTTGTTTGGAAAAACAGCAAGTTCTGTTTTAAAAGAGCTTTCATTCCTCAAATGGAAATTCATTTCTAGCTAGACTTTAAATTAATACACATGTATATACGTTGTCTAACCGTAGAAGTGAATTGCCTAAGACAGTGGTCGGCAAACCGCAGCTCGCAAGCCACATGCGGCTCTTTGGTCCCTTGAGTGTGGCTCTTCCACAAAATACCACGTGCGGGCGTGCCCGTACAGTGCGATTGAAACTTCCTGGCCCATGTGCAGAAGTCGGTTTTCGGCCCGGACGAGTCTATTTTGAAGAAGTGGCGTTAGAACACTCAAGGGGCCAAAGAGCTGCATGTGGCTCGCGAGCTGCAGTTTGCCGACCCCCGGTCTAAGGCTTTGACGAGCCTGGAGAGATGGACTTATGGGCAGCCTTTGTGGGTGGGGCCTGGACCATCCGGTGTCAAGGTCCATCCTGTGAAAAAGCACAACGTGCACGTCGAAGTGGGATTCGTTTTTTTCCCCTTAGGTCAGAACTCACGCATTCACTTTTCCTTTTCCCGTTGTGATTCCTGGTTCTGAACATAGGTTTCACAGCTTCATGATGGTGATTAACACCTCTCTGCCCCCTGGAGTGGTCAGGTACTTCAGCTGTCTACCTCAGGCCTAGATCCCTCTCGGCTCACTCTCTCTGTCTTGTACAGGGAGCAGTGTAACTGCTGATAAGTAGTCTTCTTTGTCAATTTGTGTTTGTCTTTATGTGTAAGGAACCAATTCTGTGGCTTCACCATCATAATTAAGGCCTTGAGTTTCTGAGCTTCCCTGTGTAAGGTGCCATGGCTGCCGCCTCTATGAAAAGACAGGGTCATAGCTCCCAGCAGTCACTCGGCTGCAGAGGTTGCATGTGAGTGATGAAGGCTCCGTTATCTCAGGGAAAGGATGGCTCTTCGGTTTGCTGGGAGCTGCTGGGTGGATGGCGCCCACAGCATGGAAATAGCAGAGGCTCATTTACTTGTCTCGTTCCATCCTAACAGCTGGTTCCGTCTTTAGCCTTGTCCCCAGTTCCTCCTTACTGTATCTCACTGAGTGTCTGGACATTTCTTCCCGGACCATCCATTCCTGCGACGGGGCAGGCGAGTCCTTCCCACTTCCTAAGTTTTTTCATGTGTGAAGGAACAGAAGCCTCTGTCCTTCACTGGTTTACCAACCCCCCCCCCTTTTTTTTTTTTAAATATATTTTATTGATTTTTGTACAGAGAGGAAGGGAGAGAGATAGAGAGTTAGAAACATCAATGAGAGAGAGTCATCGATCAGCTGCCTCTTGCATACCCCCTACTGGGGATGTGCCCGCAACCAAGGTACATGCCCTTGACCGGAATCGAACCCGGGTCTCTTCAGTCCCCAAGCCGACGCTCTATCCACTGAGCCAAACCGGTTTCAGCCAAACCCCTTTTTGAAGGTGAAAGGATATTTACATAAATCATAAAGTGTTAAAGCTAGGTATTAGTAGTTTTATGGCCCGAAGGTGGTGCTGCCTGAAAGACTTCTAATCAGTTCTCCTGTGTCCTGTGACTCATGTATTAATAATATTAGAAGCAGGTGAGTAATGATCACCACCGTCACCATCCAAATTGCTTGGAAGGATTCCTTTATTTTTATTTATTTACTAGTAGCCCTATGCATGGATTCGTACACCAGTAGCTCACTGCCACCCTCCAGTTGCTCTCCTTCCACTGCCCTGCCCTCCTGTGGCTCCCCCTCTCCACACCCCCCCTCAGAGCTTGCTGCCCTGCCTCCTCCTATAGCTCTCCACCGCCTCCTTGTAGCCACTAGCTTGCTGCTACCCTCCCATAGCTCGCCCCCTTCTGCCCTGCCCTCTGTAACTCCCTCTGCACCCCCACACCCTCTCATACCTTGCTGCCCTGCTCTCTTGTAGCTTGCTGCCCCACCCTCCTGCTGACCTGTGATCCAGTTTTTATGCTTTATGGCGTAATGACCATATGCATATTGCCTCTTTATTATTTAGGACTTTAATCCTCATCCAAGGACATTTTCCCATTGATTTTTAGAGAGAGGGAAAGACAGAGAGAAACATTGATGTAAGAAAAACACTCCGATTGGTTGCCTCCTGCACGTGCTCTGACCAGGGTCCAGGCCAGGAAGGAGCCTGCAACCAAGTTACGTGCCCTTAACGGGAATCAAACCTGGGACCCTTCGGTCTGCCGGCTGATGCCCTATTCACTGAGCCAAACCGGCTAGGGCTGAGGATTCCTTTAGATTTTCCAATTTAGTATCAGTCTGATTTTTTTCCTTACCACCTTTTTGGTCGTGATCAAGGATCTGGTAAATAAACAGAACCAGTGAACAACAGATTCCTGGTAAAGTCTTCACAATACTGAGTTAGGTACCTGGGAAGGTGTGGTGTAAAGCATGATTGCTGACTTCTGATATGAGGCAGAAATCTTTCATGGACTTTTACCATTCATTAGAAAAGAAAATACATACCTTTTGGCAAATTAAGAAAATACAGAATTGTATGTTAAAAAGTGCCAAACACACAACATTGTAAATATAATCAATGCCACTAACTATGTACCAAAATATGATTAAAATGGTAAATATTGTGATAGGTATATTGTAATACACACAGTTTTATTAGTTTGAAAAAAAAAAAAAAACTTCCAAGTAATGCGACTGGTTGTTAGGGCCTGTACTGATGTTACTTTAATCTTTCACTCCATGACATAATAGGTGTTCTTTCTCGAGTCCCTTTTTGCTGTGGGCACGTTCCTGGCTTGATCTCTGATATCAGCTGCTCTCTGACACCCCTGCTACTTTGTGGATCAGTTCCCTGAGCACTTGCTGGCCATGTCTGTGTTCTGTCTAATCACATAATAAATCTACTGTTTTCTCCCCCTAAAATTAAAGTCTTCATGCCTTTTCAAATGATGTTTATTTTGAATTATTGAAATTATATATTTAAGACATACTTTAAAAAAAGTTTAGAGTGGAAATAAAGATAGTCACTGTGTCTTCCCAGAAAAACCTGTTTGCCTCTATGTATGCACATACATGCAGTCAGTATTAATGCGACTTAAATTGTGGAAGATGGGGTCCTTAAAAATATATTGTAAAATGTGTGTGTACACAGAAATCCTTGTGTATTTACTCTCTAAAATGTTTACTTTAAAATGATTTTAAATGTGCAGAAAAGCTGCAAGAATACTACTGTAAATTCAAGTTTATCAGTTGTACCAGAGATGTCATTTATAGCAAAAAGATCAAGCATTGCATTTAGTTGTTGTATCCCTTGACTTTCATAACTGCAATGTGTGTGAAGATTGCAGGTTAGTCTCTTCGTTCTGTAGAGTGTTACTTCATTTGGGTTTGCTTGGTGTTTCCTCGTGGTTAGACCCAGGTTATGTGTTTTTGCCAGGGAAATCATAGAAACCATGCTGTGTTCTCCTTACATCCTTTCAGGTGGCACATGATGTCAGTTTGTCTCATTACTGGCTGATTTTACCAGATTGAGATCGTATTTTCTGGATTTTTCCATCAATGTAGTTTATGGAGAGATGCTTTGAGAGTCTATAAATATCCTGTTTTTTCTTTCCTATGTCACTCACTGATTTTAGCATCTATTGATATTTCTAGTATGAATTATTATTCTGTAAGTTGCTAAATGGTAATTTTTCTTATTTTATTACTTCTTTTACATATGAGTTGATATTCTTACGCCAAGAATAGCTTTCTTGCCTTCCCATTTATTCATTTAACTTATTGATATTGGTGTGGACCCATAGATTACTAATGCCACCAGTGGGTTATAATTCATTACTAGCATTATTTTCATGCCCAGGTTTTCTTAGATTTGGCCAGTAGGAGACACTTTAAACTGGTTTCCATATCCTTTTAAGAACATCCTACTTTCTGGCTCAATTAGGCTAATATTGTACCTTCCCTGACCCAACCCTGAAGTCAACCATTTCTCCCAGTCTGCATGGTCCTTTCTACTAGAGAAGGGTATTTAAAAAGTAAGATCTGGACTCTAGATGTGCTCATTTCTTTTGGGGTGTTGCTGCTTCCATCTTCTCAGTGGACGTAGGAAATATGTAAATATTTAAAAATTTATTCATCTTTATTTTTATGTCATTTATACATATAAAAAACATGAATTGTTATTATTAGCTCTAATTGATATTTCACAATACTGAATTTATTCTGGTTTTCCACTTTGCGTAATTATACCTCTCGTTTTAGTCCATGAGAAATCTGGCTACTGTTATTTATAATATGTTTACTGGTGTTTTCAGTCCCCTTTATGTTTCTCACCCTATTGGACTATCGTTAATTCCTGCTCAAGGCTACCATTCATTGCTACCTGGGGCTGCCTAATGGAATTTGGACTATGGAGAAAGGACAGGGGGCAGGAGGGGAGAAGGGTGGGTCCTTTTAGACATAGTATGATATTTTGTCATGTTTATTTTGTCTAACAATATGATGATATGTCTGGAATATTTCACATATTAGTATATATAAATCTGCCTCATTCTTTTTAATAAATTCTTTTATATGTACTATACAGCTTTTTGCATAGTTCTGTAGTGATGGTCATTTAATTGATATTTACATTTTCACATCTACCATGGTCTTTGTAATACATATATGAGAATTTCCTAGAATATTAGAAATAAAGTTGCTAGATTAAAGGGTATTTATGTTTATGTGTTAATGTGTTTTTGTATGTGTCTTGTGTTATAATACTATTCTTACCCAAGACAGTAAATTGTACATATACATATAAAATTTTCATTTAAAAGTTAATAGGGAAATCATGATCAAGATGAAAGCAATTTTATTACTATAAATAGTTCTGAATGTGGAGCTAGTTTAAAATTATTATGTATAATAAAAACATAACTTTCTGTATTATAGTGATAGCATTTCATAATATTATAGGTCAGTTTGTGGTTCTCACTATCATTTTGGTTAAACTTAATAGGATTTAATTTTTTTAACTCTTAGGTTATTCAAATGTGAAACACTTTTCTTGGGATAAATATTTAGAAGAAACCAATTCTTTACCTGCTCCTGCAAGAGCTTTCAAAGTGGTGAGAGAATATTTTATACTGTTTGATTAATTTGTTTTGGTGATAATGTTTATTCACTGAAATTTAAGAACAGAAAGAGATAGTACTGATGAATTGGAATAGGAATGGGAGGAAACAGAAGGCCAGAATGATGTTTCTGAATTTTTATAGTTTTGAAAGTCAAAATTGTTACTATGGTTTTTGTTGTTGGCATCTAAAAATTACTTCCATTTTGTACTTTAAAGCTCCTTGGGAAATAATTCTGGTTGAGTTGGTATGTAGTCAGTTGTTTGTACAACAAACATCTCTTTTTTAGTTATTCTTTTTTAATTGATATCACACAGAGGAGGGAGGGGTAAGAAAGAGAGAAATATAGATGTTAGAGAGAAACATTGATAGGTTGCCTCTTGCAAATGCCCTGACTGGGGATCAAACCTACAACCAGGGAATGTTCCCTGATCGGTGATCGAACCTGTCATCTTTTTTAGTCGGTGTGTAGGAGGATGCTCCAACCAACTGAGCTGCACTGGCCAGGGCCAGCCAGGTATTCTGAAAGACCAAGCAGGACAGGGCATTGTTTTCCAAAGTAAATTATATCTAATCATTCCTTTTCATTTGTTTATGGCAAGCTGAGGTGCTATTTTTATTTTGTTGCTATAAATTATAATAGCATGTTTACTTACCAAAATACAAGATCATCTTCTTTTATAATATTCTCATTCTTGTTCCTACTAGAGTGATTCTATATGGTATGTTTTGATTGCTAATTTTCTTCTTTAAAAGATCTTAAACTTTTTGCTTTCATTACCATCTTTAATCTTCATGTCTTAATTCTGGCATTTTAATGTTCTCTTAAAAAATAGACTAGATTTGGACATGTGACCTAGGATTGTGTTTGCTATAAAGGAGGGTGAGGTCCAAAGCCATTCTTGAAACTTGAGGGTTTGAAAGGCTGGTTTTCTGAATGGCTCATCTTTTTTAATCCTATTTTTTTATTTTATTTTTTGTGACAGAGAGCCTACCTTCTCTTCCTCTTAATTTCACTGTATAAAATTTTCTTTTGTGGCAGAAACCTCCACATGGATTCCAGAAAAAAATGAAGCTGGAGGTCATAGACAAAAGGAATCCCATGTTCATTAGAGTCGCCACAGTTGCAGACACAGATGATCACCGAATAAAAGTGAGTGCTTTCTGATGTGGTTTTGCTTTGCCGTTTGTTGCAAGATGTCTTGGATGGAAACTTCAACAGATCTTTAATTTGTGAAGTCCTACAATTAAATTAGTAAAACCACAGGACTAGGCAAATTAAGTGTCTGTGCATTTTCATAAGTCAGTATTTACCCAGTTTTTTTCTTTAATCTATGTAAATTTTTTCTTTAATTATGACTAGCTTTTAATGTCATATCTTCTTTCTCCAAACACGCATTCAATATAGTAAGTCATAATTGAGAGAAGACTTCTTCCATAGATAATAGAGACATTTCCTCTGAATAGAATAACTCACTATCTAGTAGTATGCTCTTTTTTTAAAAATTGAAGGCTAATGTTATTTGATGGGGTATGTTAGATGTAGACTTTTCAGAAGGATAAGACTGCAAGAGGGCACAGGCCAGGCTGAGGGACCCACCAACCCCAAGTGCACAAATCTCATGTACTAGGCCTCTAATTAATAAGTAAGGATACAAGAATTAACTCTGTTTCATGTACTCACAACTATAAACCTACTTTTTGCCCCATTATGTATATAGCCTGTCAGTATATCTTTCACCCTACAAGATAAAAAATATGCAGCCGATTCTTAGTGACCATGCCTGAAAGACCACCAGCCCTTTTACCTGGTGCCTAGTAAAGATGGTAGCACTGACCACTCTGTAAAACCTCTTTGGGAGATCTTGTAATTATTTATGAGGGGAAAAAATAGCTAAAAATGCATTTGATGTGTAAAGTGGGTATTGTTAATAGAGTATTGCATTTTTAAAAAGTATTTTTAACATTATTTTAGAATATTTGACATGTATACAAAAGGTTCTCCTGCCTCTCCACTCTCTCCTATGCTTATTGGGAGGTACATGTAACATACCTGTAGAAGTATTTCAAAATAAGTGCCTTTGGCAAGGTATTTATTTTTGGTTAGATAAGTTAAATTTAGGTCGGTCAGAAGTGCTCCTTTTCTCATAGTGTGGATGAAGTAATTTAAGTAATTGAAACAATTTATTTGGTATTAAACCTACTATATAAGTTAGAAGAGAATGACTGTGATTACGATGGGCACACCTGAATTGCTGGATTTCTTGTTTGTTGTTCAGGTTCACTTTGATGGCTGGAATAGTTGCTATGATTACTGGATAGATGCAGATTCTCCTGATATTCACCCCGTGGGCTGGTGTTCAAAAACCGGGCATCCTCTTCAGCCTCCTTTGAGTAAGAAACCCAAGGATAACAAAAAATGTTTCCATTTTCTTCTAGAATGCTTAATATTTTCTTTTCCTTATCATTCTCTTTTCTTTGTAATTGCTCATATGGAACACAATATGATAATTAATAAATAATTATGCTATACAATTCTTCTCTATGTAATTATTTTCTCTCTTACTACATTTTTAATTGCTTGGAGCAAAAAATATATAAAGAAAAATTTAATATCTGAAAAAGTAAAGTGAGTATAGCATTCTTTTACTTTTATTTAGAAGTGGTCATCACCTTTTAAAATTAGTTCTGAATTTTTGGAAGGCAGTTTGTTAGACTATCAAAATTTAATGTATAATTGTCAGTATGCTAATAGTGAGTTTATAATATAGTTTTGCAAAATGTTGTCATTGGGAGAAACTGGACAAAGTGTATAAGGGACCTCCCTCTGGCCCTGGTCTGTGTGGCTCAGTTGGTTGAGCATTTTCCTGTCCACCAAAAGGTCGCCAGCACAGTTCCCTATCAGGGCACACGCTCAGGTTACAGGTTCAGTCCCCAGTCAGTATGCATACAGGAGGCAACTGATCATTGTTTTTCTCCCCTCTCCCCTCTCTTTCTCTCTCTCTAAAAATCAATAAAAACATTTTTTAAAGGGACCTCTCATACTTATGACTGCATGCGAATCTACAATTATCTCAGTGAACATTACAGTTTTTATTTATTTTTAATATATTTGTATTGATTTCAGAGAGGAAGGGAGAGGGAAAGAGAGAGAAACATCAATGATGAGAGAGAATCATTGATCAGTTGCCTCCTGCACACCCCTCTCCCCCCCGCCCCCCACACTGGGGATGAGCCCGCAACCTGGACGTGTGCTCAAACCTGGGACCTTTCATTCTGCAGGCCAACACTATCCACTGAACCAAATTGGCTAGGGCAACATTACAGTTTTGTGGGTTTTTTTTAAATTATGTTTTAAGACATGGTATTGTTTACAGTATATTTAATATAACAAGACTTGGAAACAAATATTGGTTAAATAAACTGGTACACTCATATGCAACAGTCATCAAGACTATTATTATTATTTGAAAAACCTTCCACCTGCAGACTAGAAGTAAACATATAAAAACAAAAAATGTTTGCAAGATTTTTCAAAGAAAAGAAATGGGGGGAAATAGTTATAGAGATAAAGGACCATTGAACAGACTGTCAAAACTATAGCGGGAAGACAAGGGAGGTTGTGGGGGGAGGTGTAGCTTGACTGTGATCTGTAACTGTTCTTTTGTCTCCAGTGTGTTTAAAATTTTCACAGTGTACGATTCATGTGTTAAGTTATTTACTTAAAAAATGTTTAGAATCTTCTCATAAATTCAGATTAGGTATCTCTGGAATTTGTCACAATTAAAAGGGTTTTGGATGAAAGTTTACTATTTCACTATTGAAGAAAGACAAAATAGTGTGAACAAAGTCATGGGGGGACCACCTTTAGAAGTAGAGACTTTCAAAACATTTTTATTTCTATAGGATCTCTCTTTCTCTCTTTTTTTTTAATCATGTGTGCTGGTTTATGTGTTAATTCCAAATTGGATTTTTCCACTCTTACAACCTGATTAACTTTATGCTCCTCCTTTCCTTTTTGCTTTGTCATAGATCCCTTAGAGTTAATGGAAGCTTCAGAACAAGGTGGATGCTCAACCCCAGGATGTAAAGGGATTGGTCATTTTAAGAAAGCGAGACATCTGGGCCCGCAGAGGTATGGGGTGCTGTGGCTCACGTGGGGATTCCTTACATGGTCAGATAGGGAGTGTTATATGCACAAGATAATGGTTTTCATGTATACTGAATAGATGTGAACTAATTTTAAATTCAGATCCATAGGAATTGTGGTTACCATGGTGATCCTATAAAAACGCAGAGTGTATCTGTAGTTAAATCTTCCTGGGAGAGAATGTATTCACAGTTAAAAATAGATTTACTCTAGTTATTTGGCTTTTATGACTAGCGTAGACACTTAGCTTCTGAAACAGTTATTTGGGGTTGAACATTAATAATGAGAAGAAGTAGATCCTGTTGTTTGTTTGGTAGAACAAACTATGTGATTAGGTGACATAATTAATTGAATACAAAGAGGTAATATTGTTGTAGATTAGCTAAGATCACAGAAAGCACAAATATAGTCAAACATGAAAACGTGTTGATCAAAAAAACATTTTTCTATATTTTCCTGTTATCTCTAATTAATTAAAAAAGAAACCAAATTTATACATTTGAAATTGAATGTATTATTTAGGCAAGTTGGGGTCTTTTTTAGATTTTTTAAAGTTTTTACTGAATACCAAGAAATTGCTGTGATTTAAGTGTGGGGTTTTTTTTTACAGAACAAAAGTATTATCTGTGTAGATGTGTGTTAAAGAAACTGTTCTACCTGCATGTTAATTGGATTGCCCAGTAAGAAAAACGGTTCCTTGTTTATGTAGATTGTGCAGGTTGTGAATTCAGGTCTTAAAATATCTAAAGGTTGCACTGGCTGTTTCTCTGAGAGTTAATAGGAATTGTAAAATTGGTGAGATTACTTCCTTCTTTATATAGTTTTCCTCTTTCTTCATTTCTACCATCTCCCTACAATGCTGCTTATCTTCCTTTTGCAAACCTCCTCCCGAGTTATTTTTATAAGGTTCGAGATGTTCTAGAGTAAAAAGTCTGAGCATAGAAAGGGTGATGATTCCGCTTGCAAATATCCATTTAGAAACCCTTTTTGTTGTTTGTGTGATTGCAATCCAAAAGTTACATGATTAATTTAAGCTGAGTTAAAAATACTGCATCTTAGAAGTTATTTACTGTTGCAAAGTAGACTGGATTATTTTCAGACATTATGTAAGTCAAAATGCCAGAAATAACTCATTAGCATGCTGAATTTCCATTAGATATTTATAAATTCTTTTGTTTAATAAATATTTTTGAGCAGCAATTTTTCCCCTTAATATCTAACACTTATTGAGCATTAATTTACTCTGTGAGTTATTGCACTGATTGTTTTATATATATTGGATGACCTTCAAATGATCCTAAAACACAGAACTGTTACTTTCTCTGAATTTTTGAAGAGGCCACTGTGGCAGTTAAGAGGTGTACTGACTGGCCTCACTGACAGCTAGTTGAGGAGGGAGTTGGGAGTAGCAGTCAGTGTAACGCAAGGATCTGTGCTCTTGGCCACTGTTTTCTCACTGCCTGTGAAGGCTCTGCTCCATGAATGAGTCCCAGACCCAACCCTCAAATACCTCATGGATGAATGGAACTGTGTGTAAGCTGTCCATAATTAAAATAGAGACATAAAATGGAAACTAAATACTGAGACTTCGACACATGTCCCTAGGAAGGAAAAGACATTTTGTTGGGCTGCAGTAGAAAAAATTTAAAAAAGACTTATTTTTGGTCTTCTGGTAAGAAAACCCACCTTATTATGGCAATGTCCAAGATCTATTTAGAGGTGCTTTTGGTCCGAACCACGAGTTTTGCCTGTCACTGCCCGGTCTGTGGTGGAGAGTCGTTCCCTTACTACCGCCCCTGCCCTTTGGCCATTCCCAGGACCTCCTTTCCCTAACTGTACTGGCCTTCCACTGGCTACATCCCCTTCAGATGGAAGACTTTATTGAGACTTGTAATAAGGCAATATTTCAGTGTAATTAGAACCATAGTGGATAATTACTTACTTTTTTTTTGGAACAAGAGAAGTAGACCTTATGCCTTAAAAGGCGTGCATTGGTAAATAAGCTGTGTTTAGGATATAACCAGTAGGTCTGTGCATTAAATCTGCCTAGAGCCTCAGGGAGGAGGAAAAAGTTCAGAGAACTAGTGGGATTTAGCTCCTGCCCAAGGCCAATCTTCCTTGTCCTCAGCCCCTTCCACTGGCTTTTCTTAGTCTCCTGACTCTGATCTCCTATTCACAACACTCGGAGCTCTTTATCTGGCAGGATATTAATTTTTAACAGACACAAACTATTTTCCATTTCATTAGTAGACTTGTGGAGTGGCTGCTGCATCGTGGATATGCTCTGAAAGGCTCATTTCACTGGTACTTATTTTTGTCCTTGCTGAGAATGCTGTGTTTAAGGAAACATAATGAGAAAAATTCTCTTTGGATTAATTTACTGAGAAACTGCATAAATCAAAGCATGCATTCTTTGCTTAGATAACAAAGAAAGTTTCTCTCTCTTAGCAAGAATAATCAATTGTATGAACAGGCAAGGAAAGGCCTATGTTTTGACTAGCATTTGTTGTTGGCTTCTCTGGAAATTATAATAGTTGGGTTTGATCAAAGACGTGTTTGAAATAGAACATGTATCTCAACAGTGGGATTTAGAATGTAGTGTTTTTAACGGCCGGAATCAACATGATCAGTGAAAGAGTTGGATGTGGATACAGTATTCTCCTCTCCGGGCGGATTCGGTAGCCAGATGGCCTGATTAGCATTGGCTGCGTCGTGGTGTTTTCCCTTTGCTGATTCATTCATTTGATCCACTGAGAGGTTAGAGAATGGGAGGAGTTTAAAGGAGAACTAAAGTCATATGAAAGTCCATATTCTACATCTAGTGCCTGGTCTCCTTTCATCATCATATATCTGACCCCCTTTACCTTCTTCATCCCCTCGAGTTCCGCAAACAAACCAAACACATTATGTTTTAAAGACAACTTTTTCATACTGTTTAATCGTTCATAGACACATATATAAATACATTCAACTTGTTCAGCTAAACTTCGGAATTTTCTATTCTGTAGTCTGCCATTTCAGTTGAAATAAGTGTTTTCTAATGGGAATGTTCTATTCTTTTTCTTTTGCTATTTAGTGCTGCCAACTGTCCCTATTCAGAAATCAATTTAAACAAAGACCGCATCTTTCCAGATCGCTTAAGTGGGGAGATGCCTCCGGCTAGTCCATCATTTCCGAGAAATAAAAGGACAGACACAAATGAAATCTCCTCATCTCCTGAAATCAGGTAATTTACGTGATGATATTAATGTTGTTTAGAAGTCCTCTGATAGAAAGTCCTCTGCCTTACATGTTTCATGTTCTATGGTAATACTTTCGTGTACATCATTGAAAATTCACCGATTAAATGTGAAAGGGTGGTGGGGATCAGCACTGGAACTTCTTTCTTTCTTTCTTTCTTTTTTTACCATTTATTTATTTATTTATTTTTACATATTTTATTGATTTTTTTTTTGCCCCCCTCCCTCCCTCCCACACATCCCCTCCCTCCCCAGAGTTTTATGTCCATTGGTTGTACTTATATGCATGTATACAAGTCCTTTGGCTGATCTATTATCTCCCCCAGATCCTCCTCCCCTCCCCGCTGTGATTTGACAATCTGCTTGTTGCTTTACTGTCTCTATATCTATCTTTTGGTTCATCAGTTTATAATGATCTTTATTATCCACAAATGAGTGGGGTCATGTGGTGTTTCTCTTTCATTGATTGGCTTATTTCACTCAGCATGATGTTCTCCAATTCCATCCAGGTTGCTGCAAATGATGAGAATTCCTTCTTTTTTATGGCAGCATAGTATTCCATTGTGTAGATGTACCAAAGTTTTTGGATCCAATCATCTGCTGACGGGCACCTAGGCTGTTTCCAAATTCTGGCTATTGTAGATTAGCACTGGAACTTCTTTTTTAATTAAGGAAACTATTCATATAGGCATATTTAAGTCAGGCAGGATTTCTCATTTCTTATTCTTTTAGTGGTACTTGGGTGATGTTGAATGAATTGGTCAATATTTATATAGAACTAGCTATTATTGCAAAGATGGCAAACTCCTTGTGAACATTATTTCTTTTTAATGTTCATTATATACCAAGTGCTTACATATACCTTATTTCATGTACCTTAACATGTTAATTGTACTATAAGCTCAGTCATTTAGTTTTGATTTCTCTTCTAGAGTTGAGTCTGGATGCGTTAGTCTCAGTGGATTATATTAGGTAAAAAACTAAGCTTTGTGTGACGTATCTTTAAGTATGTGGTCTGTGCCTTATGTTACCTCAGGACACTACTAAAAGAAACAGCAGACGAATAGAAAGATGCTCCATCGTGCTTACGTTTGGGGGTTTCTTTTATGGAGCATTTTAAAATCTAAGGCACATAGTTCTTTATTTTCATATTGTACTACTTCCGTTCTCATGAAGAATGAGTGGCTATTTGAATTACTGCATCTGGTTCTGAATTCGCAACGGTGTTATGGAGTAATGGCATCTCCAGCATCAGTATCCTTCTGCCCTATGCCTGGGCTAACTTCTTTGATTATTAATAACAGTGATGATTTTTTTAATCCTCCAAACCATGACTAATATAACCTGAACTCATTTACCTAACCCATTACCCTAAAATGAGGATATACTAGTATCACTTAAAGAAATTTACCCTAAGACAAATAAAAGTACTAACTCACAGAATGGTAATTAGAGGTACAGAGTTCATTGACTCACTACGTGGGAAGAATACCTAGAGTTTTAGATTTTTCAAAAGCGATGATATTGTTATAAAAATCAGCAAAATTCTCCAAAGAGCCAGTAGTACCAACTTTGCTAACCGCCTGGACTCCAGGCCGGATTTCTGGGGCCAGAATCTCCTTAGAGCAGACGTAGATGACACTTACTGTAATGTATCTGTCATGGCAGTGCCAGGATAAAAAACAACACATCGGTGTATTTCTCATTCTGGTGACAGCCCAGCATCGGAGATGGGTGAATGGGATGGCACAGCCAGCGCCGTCAGCATGCAGCCCACATCCCCTGGCCCCTCACTCCCACTTTGGCACACAGCTGCTGACTTGCACCTGTCTCACCTGGGCCGCTCTCCTGCAGGAAGAGCCTGGGTCTGGCCCTGTTGCCCACTGTGCGGCAGGGCAGACATGCAGGGAGATTGGTGTGTCCTGCCTTCCCTGGCAGCCTCCCTCTCTGGTGAGGAGAACTGCTGTGTAAGTAGCCCAGCTCCCTCACCCCATGTGGGAAGGCTGAGATGTGTGTTACACGGACTTCCAAGGTTTCCCTAGTGGCCTGTGCTCCTGCTGTCCAGGGGGTAGCCAATATGGCAGGGAAGCTGTCACTGCTGTCCCTTGTCTCCCTTCCTCCCCCCCTCTCCACACACACAACCTCCCACAATGCTATTCCTCACCTCCCAGGTAAGCCTCTTGCAAGCAAATCTTTGCTTCAGGGTCAACTTCTGGTGGTACAAACGGTCTCTTGCTGAGTCAAAGGGCATTAAAAAAAAATCCCAATTTTAGCAAATTATTTAGAAAGATGCAAAGAAAAGGTATTACTCCTGAGTGGGAAATTACATCCACGTGAGCAATGCTGATGGGAAAAGAAGACAGAAGTAATCTGATATTACGAGAATCGCCTCGTTTGAGAGCTCTATTCAAAGTGTAACCTGAAAAGAGCAAAGAAACAGGCAGCATTATTTGAAGGGCCACCTCACAGGCCATCTGCTCAAGACGGATTCATGACTTCTCCAGCAGCGGGTGCCAAACTTGGCTTCACACCAGATTCCTGGGGGCCTCACAAAATTCAGATTTGGCAGCCTGGCCCACCAGAATCTTCCAGGTGGAGCCTTAAGTCTGCATTTTAAAAAGTGATTTGGGAGTAAATTAGGGTCTTAGAATTTAGACCCTAATTCTGGATGTGGCTCCTGCCTAACTCTCCTGCTTCATCTCTACCAGACTTGTTTTTTAAACAATGCTGCAGCCCCAACATCTTTTCTCTCTGTCTACAACCATCTCCTACTAGCTCATCTCTCATCTTGCCGGCTCCAGGTTAACTCACTTCCTCAGGGACGCTTCATCGGCTCCTCCAGACTGGAGCTCAGGCCCCTCAGTCCTCGCTTTCCTGTCGCACATGAGACACCACTGACGGTTTTCCATTCGCCTTCCCAAGAGACACGTCTTACATAACGTCAAGGCCACTGCTCTATAACCTTCTTTTTTTTGTTCTTCTTCAACTTTCTAAGATCTCCAGGCTAGATATTTGAGGGGGGATTATTAAAGGATGTAATAATTCCCCCAAATACATGCACCCTTTTATAAATTGGAGCAGTGCTCCCCAAACTGTTGTTAACTCCTGGCCCATGTAGAAAATGGTACCAGAGAAATAACGTTGATATGGCGCACCAAGGAAAAGGATGGGGCTGCCTCTGGGAGGGCACCCCCAGCATCTGAGAATTGGGCATCTTGGTGGGAAGCTCCGTCCACATTAAGATGGCTCCACCCTGAGTGCTTGGATCTCTTTTCCTGCAGTGACTTGTCAAATGGATGGGCAGGTTGTGCATGAATTTCCAGTGCACACTCAGGGATGTGAGTGCACAGGCTTTCCAGCCACGCGCTCATCCATCAGATGCAGAAGGAGCCTGGTGCTGTCAGCGAGGTGTTCTCACTTCTGCCCCCACAGCACCCCTGGCGGCCACCGGTGAAGGAGCTTTCCTGGGGCCTGGTAACCTTCAGTCAGTTTGCTTTGCATCAGAATCACCAGATGCTTGTCAAAAGGCAACCCTCGTGGTGCCTTCTCCAGAGACACTGATTCAGGAACTGTATGGTGCACCCCAGCTCATGTTTAGCAAGCACCCCCAGTTGATGGATGCAAGTGATCTATAACCCGGGCTTCGAGAACCGTTATGGAGTATAAAGACCCTTCTCCGGAGTAATAATTCACAATGTGTTACCCGCTGAAGAACATCGTCATGTAGCCCACACAGTCTTATTCTCATGAAACCTATTCTGCAGCTGTTCGTAATTATGTTTCTATATTAGGTGCTAACTCTAGTAAAAGTGACTTAATGTTTTAAGCTCAGAGTTAATGTTTTAACCACAGAAACGCAATAAAGCATTTAACAAATACCTGCTAAATGCTTGTGTTACCTTGCAAAGCAAGTAAGTACCCAGTGCTGAGTGCAATGAAAAAATTTGGCCTGTTCAGTTCATTATAGGTCATTAAAACGGGCTTTCATGTTGTAGGACCTGTGTTTCCACTCTGGGAATTACATAAAGCAGCTGTAGAAATTGTAGCTATCGCTCTGATTTATGTTTTCAGGATGACTCAGATTTGTCACTCACACCAAGAACTAGTCTGTACCCTCAAGCAGGGCTCTATTAAATAGATAGGAAACAAGCTAACATAAAAGATGAACTATAAGCATATACAAATTTATTTACTTTCCAAAAACTATAACATCAAGTAGAATATATTTAGAGCCAACCGTGTTAATGAATTTCAAAAGGTAATTATGAATCTTCAGGAACTTTTTTTTTTTTTTTTTTTTTTTGCTTCAAAAGATTTTCTGAGCCTGAGGGCTTGACACTGCTGATTAGAAAAAGTCATTTCTATGAGTCATTCCTTGCCTCTAAAGTCTCTTCCCCCTTTTTGACACCTGGCTGCCAGATATGGGTTAGGAGCTGTGGAAGTTTTAAAATATTTCAGCCCTCGGGAATCTCATATTTATGCAGTTATTTGTGTACACCAAAGAGAAGCTCAGTTTTAGTAAAAACACTCAGTCCTGATGCCAGTGGCTGTGGCACCAAGGCAGCATTGACAGTGAGAGGAAGAGACCATTGCACGTTGTTGCATGCCTGTGAAGTCCTGGGACAGTGTAACAGGTTCTTGTTTTGTCTCCTCCAACAGCACTGATGGCTGACCCAGGACACTCTTATACACAGTGGAAAAGCAGGGACTTTTCTGCAACAACGTGGAAACGATGCAGTCCCTTTTTCTATACCTGGTCTTTATTTCCCAAATCTCACTTCATCACTTTCCATTTTATGGGGATTGATTAGCTTCATGGTTGGACTAGGTTTTCTGGAATGCATTTCTTGCAACTTGATAATATCCACTGTATTTTCTTATTATATTCCTTTTCTTCGATAGCATGTTCTTATGCTAAATTATAATTTGATAGGCTTATTAATCACAATGTTATATTTTTAGTCATTAAATAAATAGTAAATCATATTTACCTCTCCTGGACCACGTTTTATTAAAATTAGTGCAAATGTATCATCTCAAAAGGAATTTAATTTAATTTTTAAAATTTTTTAAAATATATATTTTATTGATTTTTTACAGAGAGGAAGGGAGAGAGTCAGAGAGCCAGAAACATCGGTGAGAGAGAAACATCGACCAGCCACCTCCTGCACACCCCCCACCGGGGATGTGCCCGCAACCAAGGCATATGCCCTTGACCGGAATCGAACCTGGGACCTTTCAGTCCGCAGACCGACGCTCTACCATTGAGCCAAACCGGTTTCGGCAGGAATTTAATTTTAAAAACTCTATTTGGCTGTTACCCATAGACATACATTTTTTCTTTTGTTATTGTTGTTAATCCCCCATCGTAGTATTTTTTTCCAATTAATTTTTAGACAGAGTAGAAGGGAGAGGGAGAGACACAAAGAAGCATTGATGTGACACATCGATTGGTTGCTTCCTGCACTCATCCCTGAAAGGGCTGCAACCGAGGTATGTGCCTTTGATCAGAATTGAACCCACATCCTTTCAGTCCACAGGCCAACACTCTATCACTGAGCCAAACTGGACAGAGCCATAGACATGAAAGTTTTAATCCCCACTGATTTAGCTGTTTTTTGTGAATCCTTTTGAAGATGGCATCCTCCTTGTTGTGAAGCTGTTCAAGCATAGTCCCTTCTGCATTTGCACCAGGTGTTTTAGGAACAAGTCTAGTACTCTTTTACAATTCCTTTAACATATAACCCTGAGGTTCTCATTCTCTATGAGTTTTTGCCTGTGAGTGATATCAGCCCAGAAATTAAGTGGGGGGGAGAGGAATGCTAGGGACATGCAAGGATATATTCTTTTAACGTTCAAAACAGAAACTTCTATGTTTTTTATATTCACTCTGTCTCTCATTTGTTACCGGGGAGGACAGGTGCTTTTCAGCTCTAATAAAGCCCCATGATATTAGAATAAACTGTCTGGGAAGAGAAAGGTGGGCTTATTTTAAGCCAAACTAATGTTGGATTTAGAGGCATTGGCTTAAATCTCTACAGTGAAGCAAAATCATTGATTGTTTTATTATTCTTTTTAAATGGAACTGATTGAATCATAATTGCTAAGGATTGCTGTTAAATAGGAAATAAGTAAACTTGAGGAAATACAGTTGTTTGCATTTAGATGCCATCCTGTTATTACATATTTACTCTTCTAATGTTTGTTTGGCTCATATTTACCACAAAGCGTAATTAGAGTAAGATAGTAAGACATCTAAAGCCTGACACATAATTACAGAGGGGAAGAAAATGCTGACTCATAAAGAATACATTTTCCCATTTGAGTGGATTCTACTGTCTTAATTAAAAGCCTGAAGAGTACTCTTGAGTAAGATTTTAGCTATGATTATATTTCAATTCAAGCAAAAAAAAAAAAAAAGTTGAAGGAAGCTGGTTCTTGAAAATTCTAAAATTCCTATATTTCAGGCACTTTTCTTGGTGCTTAGTTGCATTAGCTCATTTAATCTTCATAATGCTTTCCTGGGGTAGGTGTTATTATTACTTCCTCATTCTAAACATAGAACCTCTCTTGTTTACAGGTTACACAGCAGCGTGTTAAATTTATATTCCAAATGGAAAGTAAATGAGTGCCTTTATAATGAAGACCACAAAACTCCTTTATATTTTGTTGGCATATTTGGTTTCAAATGTATTTGCCCTTTCCTTGAAATTTACTAGGGGCCTATTTGTAAGCTAACACCACCTATGAAACAATAGAACATCATGAATAGGATATTATAAAGCACCACAGTGTGTAGGCCAGCACCATCACCTGGGTAGTCCCAGGCAACTTGAAAGTGGGATTTGGTTTGAACTCAGAATGGAATAGATTAGGTGGGAAAATGTTAAATATCTGAAATGTAGCTTTAAAGAAAATAAAGTGTGTGCCTGGTTCTTTTTAAAGCCATTTTTGTCCCTGACTTAACGGCAGAGCTATGAAGTAAGATTGTAATATGTCCATTCCATTTTATAACATCCTTGTCAGGCTTAGATTAGCATGAGATCATTCCTGGTCAGAAAGAATGGGATCGGGTCAGCCTCTGCATTTGAACTGATGAAGACAGGCAAAGCTTCCTCGAATTTTGATTCTCCTGAGCCAATCTCAGCCTCAATCCCAGATCCTGGCACTGAGTATATATAGTAAATTGATTAAATGGTATGGACATTAAAAGCATATTCTATCTTTTAATTATCTTACCAAACAATACAAGTAAAATTCCTCATGAATGCATGTCTCAATTTGAAGTTGAATTATTCAATAGCTACATTTCCCAGGATAATTCATCTTAATATCATTCTTAGCTTTAAAATTTCTTTTCTGAACAATAAATGAAAAATGATCATGAGGAAATGGACATTTAGGTGTTATTAGCATTAATTGCTTCTTAGTAGAACTAAAAATTCTAACATTTAAAGGGCACCTTTTGTTTTTTAAATTAAGAAAAACAATTGCTGAGATGCGATGCTGAACAAACTATTGAAAAGTCTCTGTGTGTGTTTTATTTCTTCAGAGATCAGCATGCTGATGTCAGAGAAGAATTCGAAGAGAGAACAGAAAGTGAAGTAAGGCCGTCACACGAAGCCAGAGGTAGGCATAGTTGTCTCCTATTATGGATGGGTATTACTGGTCAGACTCAACAATCAAAATTCAGGCTTTAGCAGTCCTTTTATATTAAAGATAAACTTTATTTGGTTGGTTTGTTCCATTATCATAGGCAGTAAAGTTTACAAATACAGCCTTAACAGGTTTGACTCAATGAATAGAATATCGGCCTGCAGACTGAAGGGTCCCGGGTTTGATTCCAGGAAGCATCCACATCGATATTTCTCTCAGCCTTTCTTCATTGTCTCTAAAAATCAATAGAAAAATATTCTCAGGTGAAGATTTTAAAAATAAAAGGATAAATATAGTATGTAGTTCATAATTCTGTAGATTGACCTGCGACCTATAGTTCCAATCTCTTTCACATATGTTCCATATTGTATGTAAAGTTTGGATAGGGCATTCTGTTTGGTTCTTGTCCATACATTTTCTTTGGTATTGTTGATGTCACTTGCTTTACATATTTTAAACTCATGTAAGGGTGTCTAATGAATTCCAAATAGAATTAATATGGTCTTAATACCACAAATGAAATTTACTTGAATGTTTTAAGCTGTATTGGAGAAAATAATGGGTCCTAACAACTTTGTAAAAAATATATATATATTACAGTGGTTTGGCTAAGTAATAAATTCATAATGACTGTTAGCCATAATATAGATTCTATTTATAAATTATACATAGCTATATAATTATTATTTGTTTTTATAAGAAATCGTTTAAGATTTTATGATTATGGCTAGAGTCCTGATACATGAAATTCATGCACGGGAGGTTGTGTCCCTCAGCCCAGCCTGCACCCTCTCCAATCTGGGACCCCTTGAGGGATGTCCCAGTGGAATCAGGCCTAAACGGGCAGTCGAACATCCCTCTCACAATCCAGGACTGCTGGCTCCCAATCGCTCCCCTGTCTGCCCGCCTGATCTATGCCTAACTGCTCCCTTGCCAACCCGATTGCCCCAAACTGCCCTCCTCTGCAGGCCTTGTCTCTCCCAACTGCCCTCGCCTGCAGGCCTGATCGCCCCCAACTGCCCTCCCCTGCCGACCATCTTGTGGTGGCCAACTTGTGTCCACATGGGGGTGACCATCTTTATTTTTATTAAAAAATAATAATAAAAACTAACTGGTGCATGTTTGTATCTTTGGCTCAAAATAGACATTCAGTAAAACAGGATGAGAACTTAAAACCGACTATATGAGATTCATTGAAAGGACTGTGATGGGGTTTTTAAAAACATTTGAAGAATTGATATGTTTCGTGTGGAGAAGATATCTTTTTCTATATGAGCTCAGGTGTTGGAGTGATGGTCAATTTGCATATTACTCTTTTATTATATAAGATATTAATGATTATCCTGTGGGGCTTTGCTTTTCATGTGCATTTTTGGATCAGATTATTATATAAGATTTGGGAATGTCACCTAATGGCTGTTTGCCTATAGTGACCTATCCCCTAAGTGATGGTATGATTTCATATCTGATTTTCATAAAAGCAGCCATTTACATGAATTTAAAGGTTCGGTTGCTGCTGTATTTGATGTAGCATTGTATATTAACCCTGCAGATGGTCAGGGTTCGAATTCCTGCTCTGCCACCTGCTGGACTTTTCACTGACCACTTCTCAGTTCTTCCTTTTCCTAATGGTGGTGACTTCTCATGGATTACTATGGGGATTAAGTGCAACAACATTGTAACTTGCTTAGAATGGTGCCTGGCATACAGGGAGTGCTACACAAGCATTCGATCATTTTGAATGTTTCTGGTACTTGGAAAGGAAGAAAAACCAGTAATTTATGATGGTTTTATAATCAGGATATATTGGATTCTTAGAGAAAAGCTTTATTCTGTCTTTTTGAATGGTGGGTTGGAGCACAGCCTCCATTCTCATCGCAACTGTATCATTTACTAGTGTACGGCTGCTCTGGGCAGAGTTTTTAAGGAATGATAATGTCGGAGCACTAGAAAGGATCTGTGAAGAATACAGGAAATAGAATAAAAGTAGAATGGAGCCCGATGGAGTGAACAGGGGCAAGTGTTAATGGAGTACTATAAACAGTTATGAAACAGAGTGCATGGCTTTGGAAAAGACTGACTTTTATGTGGCAAGCAATTAGAATATAAGTTATAAAGTAGCTCTACTGTCCTCTAGTGTGGAACTGGAAATCTTACTGTGTCATGTCTGTCTCCTGAAGGATTTACCAATATTGCATTTCAAATAATTGCTAAACTCTTAGGAATATATGAAATTAAAGGATGTTTTTAAGTTAGACCCTATATTTATGCTTAACAAAAATATCTCCTTTAGATGTTTTTCAATTAAAAATAATAATAAAAACAAACTGGTACAAGTTTGTATCTTTGGCTCAGAATAGGCATTCAATAAAACAGGATGAGAACTTAAAACCAATTATATGAGATTCATTGAAAGGACTGTGGTGGGGTTTTTTAAAAACATTTGAAGGATTGACATGTTTCATGTGGAGAAGATATATTTTTCTATAAGAGCTCACTCAGGTAGAACCAGGGCCAGTGGGTGTTAGTTCCAGTAAGATAGATTTTCCTTTTTCTATTCAGCATAGGGACTTTGTAACATTCAGAGCAATTCAAAATTTAGGCTTGTTTAAGATAAAACTTATAAAAGAACTACAAGAGACCAGTGGGAAATAATGTTTTAAAAATGTACAACAGAAAACATCAGATGCATAGGAATAAATTTAACAAAAGATGATCGTGAAAAATGGCAAAACATTGAGAAGATATATTAAAGGAAACCCAAAGAAATGGAGGGGTATGCATTGATCTTGGATTGGGAGACTCAATATTATGAAGATGGTATTCCTCACCAAACTGATCTATACTTAGTGGTAATTTTAATCTAAACCCTTGCAATTTTTTTACAAGCTGATCCTAAAATGTATATGGAAATGCAAAGGGCTAAGGATAATCAGGGCAATGTTGAAGAAGACCTAGATCACAGATCTCAGCATACTTATAAAGTGATAGTGATTGAAATCTGTGGACTGGTGTGAAGATCCAGCGGAGCAGAGCAGAGTCTGGGAAGTGGCCCTGCAGGCGTGTGATTGATTGAAATGGAACACAGGGAGGCCCTAGCAGGGCGGCTTTATGCTTTCTTGTTCTGGGGATCTTCACTTTGTGGAAATGCTTTATGCTGTCTGCTTATGATTTGCATGCCTTTCTGTAAATCTTACTCTTCAAGGAAAAGACCTTGAAATATTCTTAAAGATGCAAAATAGCTTAAAATATTCTCGGAGATTAAAAAAAGCCTTTAGCTAACCATTTGGCAAAGATTTGTGGTGGAATTGAATGATCCCTGAGCTAGTGTGCGGGGGAGAGAGAGTGTGGGGAAGGCCCTTTTCTTCTCAGGGGCTTTAAGTAAGCAGTTGCCAGGAAAGATTTCTGTTCCAAAGGATTGAAAGGAGACCATTATTGACAAACTAAGAGTTTCACGGACATAAATTAATTTGCTAAAAAAATGGGTATATTAGGAGAGCAGGAGTAAACTTAAGTTTGGATTCAGAAGACCTAGCAGATAAGCAGAATATTCTGCACTTTAATTTTGATCTCCTCAAAGGAAGACTGACAAAAGCATTTGTCTTTCTGTTATTTTTGTTGCCATAATTTCATATCCATTTCAAAGCATGTAAAATTGGCTGTTTAAAAAGTCAATGTGATTAACACTGAAAGAACAGACCAAGGCTGAGATAAGAGAAGAGAAAACAGTGGGCAGACCTGAGCACCCAAAGCGGCAAGAAAAACAAATAGTTTCCTAAGTTCAGAATTACGAGTTCTAAGGCAAATATCGTACCTGAAACATAGAATGTTATAATGACACGTCTTCAGTGGGTGATGTAGCAAAGATGTTAGTTGAATTTAGCAAAATTTAGCAAAGATGTAAGCTCACTTTCAGGTGAGCTTCAGTAAAGGCAAAGGACAGTATAATTACTCAGGGACTGTATGTTGAAAGGAACAAATGAATTAACTAGAGCCTCGCCCTCAGCTTTTCAGAGAGTGATTTTCCATTTGTTCCCATCGACAGGTGCCCGAGAAGAACCCAGTGTACCGCAGGCACAGCGTCGGTCGGCTGTCTTTCTCTCCTTTAAGTCCCCAATCCCATGTCTGCCCTTGCGCTGGGAGCAGCAAAGCAAGCTTCTGCCAACTGTGGCCGGAATCCCTGCCAGTAAAGTTTCCAAGTGGAGCACAGATGAGGTATACTTATTTCCTTTGTCTTCCAGGGACCAGATATGGGAGTACCCCTGACTTAATGAGTGGACACGTGAATGGGGTGTGCTGCCTTTTTCCCTGAAAGATCAGAAATTATTCCTAGAGAAGCAATTAAACATATAAGTACTATAATTTAAAATTCCGACCTTTTTTTAAACTGGAGTTTTGGTCTTATTTTGACAGGTATCAGAATTCATACAGAGCTTACCTGGGTGTGAAGAGCATGGAAAGGTATTTAAAGATGAAGTAAGTGTCCCACTAAATTGCAGCCTGTAACTTCACGGGATCAGAGCTCTGACATGCAGTGGAGGGTGAAATGTTTTGCATCAGCAGAGGAGGAAAGAGATGGATTATGTTGAAATTGGCAAGTCAATAGAGTTGTCCAACAAGCAGCATTAATCAGTTGTATAAAAATGTCTTTGTATAAGCTTAGGTGTAAAGGAAATGTTTGTGCCACTTTATAGTGCCCCAAAGCTGTAGCATTAGACTCATTATTTAAAAAAAAAAAAAATGAACACAATAACATGCATTTATAGTTTATAGTACGGAAAGAAACAATAAAAAATGGCATAACATTTCATTTTTAACTAGACCCGGTGCATGAAAATTCAAGCACTGGAAGGAGGGTCGTTCAGCCCAGCCTGCCCCCCTCACAGTCCAAGAGCTCTCAGGGGCAGGAGGCAACCTGGCAATCAGGGAAAGGTGACACCTCATCACATCTCTGCTGCTGCCACTGCCTGCAGCCAAGCCTCGGCCAGCCCTGGTTACCTGTGCCTCAGGCCAGCCCCAGCCGCTGTCCGAGGTTTGCCTACTCCTCTGGAGTCAGGCACACGGAACTGAGGGGACTGGGCACTGCCATCTTGTGGCTATGGGCATTGCCATCTTTGAGGGCATGGCAGTCAATTAGCATATTCCCTCTACTGGGTGTATTTTATTTTTATTGTTGTTGTTGTTAATCCTCACCCGAGGATATTTTTCCATTGGTTTTTAGAGAGAGTGGAAGGGATGGGAAGAGAGAGAAACATCAGTGTGAGAGAGACACTGTTGGGTTGCCTCCCACACTTGCCCTGACCAGGGTCAGGGATTGAGACTAGAACCGAGGTACATGCTCTTCACTGGAATTAAACCCGAGACCCTTCAGTTCCTGGCTGACACTCTGTCCACTGAGCCAAACCAGCTAGGGCACTATTGGGTGTGTTTTTTGTTTTTCTTTTTTAAAAACATAGGGATTCCAGCTTGCTCTCTCTCTACCGCCATCACTTCCGCTCTGGTCTGAGCCGCCATCATCTCCCACCTGGATTAAGACAGTACTTCCTACTCAGTTTCCCTGCTTCTATTTTTGCTCCTCTACAGTCTCTTCCCAGCATAGCCAAATCATGTCACTCCTCCATACCTATCCTTTCAGTAGTAAGTCAGAGGAAAAAGCAAAGTCCTCACCAGGGCCTACGATCTGACACCCAGTGCCTTCTCACGGCTCCTGGCCATGTTTTCTGCTCCGCCCCTTGCTTACATTTTCCATACACTGTCCCTTGCTGTCCGTCAGATTATCCAGGCACACCCAGCTCTTCCCTGGACCTGCCGTGCTTTTCCTCCAGACGTTCCCATGGCTCACTCCCTGTTCCGATGTCACCTTCTCTGTTAGACCTTTCCTGACCATCCTGCTTCACATTGCCACCTGCCCCACACATCCATTTCTGCCCCGACTGCCCGCTTATCTCCTCTGACCACCTTTTAGAATTAATTACTATTAATTCATTTCTTATTAATTAATTGTGCTTACAGTCTTCCACTACTCAAGTGTAAACTCCTCCACCGAGAGTTTTTATTTGCTTACTTGCTTGTTTTTGTGTGTTTTTTGTCCAAGAAGAGTATTTGTAACATAATAGGTGCTTAGTAAGTTTTTAATGAGTGAATATACTCATTTTCTTACCCTCTGGGAAAACATTCAAAGAGCATGCTGCTGTGGTGTGCAGAGTGAAAGCACTGAGTGCATGGTGGGAAGAGCAATGGAATGGAAGGTGGGAGCCCCCGAACTCCAAATCTTCCTCCTTAGTTTTGGGCCTTTAGCAAGATACTTTATCTCCGCAGTTGGATCAGCCTGGATGTAGCAAAAAGCAACAAATGGAAAATAAACGCCATAATACATGGCAGTGATTCCTGTTCTTAGAAGGTACTTTCTCAGTTAAGTTTGCCTTCTCCCAACCGAGGCCTATGCTTATGGCCACGCATCAGAGCAGCTGTATATAATAGACTAGTATTAGCTTCAGGTGATTTTTTTCCCTTTTCAGTGTAACCTTAAAAATAATAATCTACCGAAACTTTATTCCACTCCAGCTTCCAGATCGCAGCCTCACTGCCCTCTGAATGATCCTATTCATAAGTCATCCATCATGTTAAACTCTTATGCAGTCTCAGGAGACTCCATAGAGCCCAAGGTTATAATAAAACAGTTCAGTCTTTGCAGGGAGCTCTTTGGGAAAGGGGTGCTAGCTGACACTTTGATTCGGGATTTGGAAGATTTCTCTCACATCGTTCCTTCTGCTAAGGTCTGCCGTGGTTAAGTGAAGTGTTACTACACCTGCCTCTCTGCTTGGCTTTGCCTTATCAGAGGGCTGTCATAACAGAAGCTAATGACCAGAACAAATGACTCAAAACACATTAGGACATTTCTCAGACCTGCCACTTAATAGGTCTTACCCTCAGAATTTAACATCAGAATGTCTTTCCTTCTCTTTTAAGACAGTTGACTGTTTCCTTGCCAGAAAGTAGCAACTTTCCCCCCATAATTGTTCATTGATGTGATAAATAATAGAGTAGTAGTTGTTTGTTAGGGCTGCTGTAACGAAGTGCTATGAGCCTGTAGCTTTAACAGCAGAGACTGTTGCCTTGACAAGTAGGTGTCGTCTTCCCAGGGCTGTGAGGAAAGGACCTGGTCCCAGCCTCTGTGCTTCGACTGTAGATGGTGTTGTCTTCAACCATCTTCTTCACTATGTCCAAATCGTCTGTCATCTTGGATTAGGGGCCCAGTCGAATCTAGTATGACCTCATCTTAACTAACTCCATCTACAATCACCCCATTTCCAAACAAGATCACATTCTGACCCTGGATGGTGTGGCTCAGTTGGTTGAGTGTAATCCTATTCACCAAAAGTTTGCCGGTTTGATTCCCAGTCAGGACACAGATCCAGGTTGCGGGTTTGAGAACCAATCAGTATTTCTCTCTCATATTGATGTTTCTCTCTCTCTCTCTCTCTCTCTCTCTCTCTCTCTCTCTCTCTCTCTCTCTCTCTCTCTCCAATCAATAAAAACTTTTTTTTAAGAGCACATTCTGAGGTTATTGGGGGTTGGGACTTCAACATGAATTTGGGAAGGGCACAATTCAACCCATAATGGTACATCACTGTCAATGCTTCCAGTGTGCTCTAAGGCAGAGAACAAATGTGTGATTTACTTTTTGTACAAAATAGGAAAACTGAAAAAGAAGTGAATTGATTTCTTTTAAGATGGCGGAACAAGTCACATAAAAAGACTCCACTCCTTTGCTCTACCCACTAAAGTAGACATCATCTTCATAGAATTGTATCTTTGAACCTCAAAGTACACTATTCTGCAGGAGCATAGTCTGTTAGTCTTAGAAGAGATGCAGACTGAGAAAGGGGGTTTCTCATGGTTACCCAAGTAGAGGAAGAACCAGAATAGATTCTACAACTCTTAACACCAATTTCATGTTCTTCCAATTACGCTCTCAATTGCCCTTATTACTAACTGCTTTTCTTTTGTATGTGAAGAATAATTATGGCCACTCTAGAAATGTTATTTTTCTGTTTTTTTTTCTTCATGGTGGAAGACTAATTTTTAAAATAATTATTAGCATGTGGCTGATATGTTTGTCTGAAGCCTTTGATTATAGCCACAAATATCTGTGTACCTATTTTCATCTCTAATTTTAGACTAAAACCTGTGATGATAGGAACTGAATTTGATGATAGGAACTGAACACACTTTACCAAATTCTTCTTAAGTCAGCACCTCTGAGTAATCACTGGAAGGTATGGGCACCTTCCCTTTTTCTGGGAGCCAATTTCTCAGATGGATGAATTTTTACTCTACTCCCGGTCCACATTTGCTGTGTTGTTGTAAATAAGAAAGATCCATTTACCACGAAATGTTTGTTCACCTGAGCTCTCCTTGTCTGTGCCGTTTTAGTGTTACTGTATATAAGACAGCCAATAATTTAAACTTGATTATTCCCCACAACACAATATCCAATTAACTCACTGTCTTTTGTCTTTTACTCCCATTTCAGCAAATTGATGGAGAAGCATTTCTGCTTATGACACAAACAGACATTGTTAAAATCATGAGCATTAAGCTGGGCCCGGCTCTCAAAATTTTCAATTCTATCCTGATGTTCAAAGCTGCAGAGAAGAACTCTCACAATGAACTTTGAAGATGGTGAATTTTGGATACCATCAGCTTTCTGCTTTAAAGCTCATGTTTTATTCAAAGCACAAGGACCGTTCTAACTCCTCAGTGAGAAGTCTCCAAAACTCAGAAGAGCAATGTGATCAGATTATTTATATTCCTCCAGAGACAATGTATATGAATTCCTAAGAAAGTGCTTGAGCTTTTAACCAGGTACTGTCTAACAACAGTCATCCTTTGGTTCTGTTCACTGAGCTAAATTTATCTTTGTAAATCTTTTTGAGTCTGGGGTTGGGGGGGTGGGAAGAGAAGGGGGGCTTCATTAATTATTTATGGACAATGGGGGGCAGAGTATGACTTTTTGGCATTTTGTAAACATTGATGAATTCTCTTTCATGTACACTGTTTCTTTTTCAATACTTTCAGGAATCTTTTTTATATAATCAAATTTCAACCTAAACCAAAATAGTGTCTAAACCTGGCTAAGTTCAGCCAGCGGGACGGTTGGTTATCTGTATTGTTAATTCTGTGCCATATTTTGAATTGCAACATTATGCTAAGTATAACTTTGCAAGTCATGATATTGCCTAACTGCTTGTTATCATTGGGGCCGAATCGTTGCAAAAAAATCACTTTTCCTTAAATCTATGTTTTTGTTTTTGCTTTTGCACGTATTATGAAATGTTAAACAAATTAATTTCACCAGCATCTTTACTATAATTACCAAAAATCATGTATATAAGTAATGGAATTGAAAAATAAAATATATAAGCATAAATAACTTAGGGGATGCCCTGTGTGCTGGGCTCTTGTAGAGTCCAATGTCATGGAATATGCAGTTACATGGGGGGAGGGAGGGGTTGTAAGGATCTGAAACTATTTATGAGATTATCGTGAGCTTCTCTCTAATTGTCATTGAGGTGCTTTTCAGAGATCGGTGAAGGGCTTGTTCTGTCCATAGAAACACTAATCCCTAAGCAGCTCTGTCCCAGATCTTGCCATGTCCTCCAAACCCGAAGGTGCTCCTTCAGGGTTGGCTGTAGAGAGAGGCATGTTGAATTGACCGAGGCGGCAAGGTGTGAGGGAGCAACACCAGCAAAGATTCTCAGTGCTCACAGACCAGGGAGGCGACTTCCCAAAACAATCACCCGAGACCCTCCATGTTGGAGAGAGCTCGCCTCGCTGTGTGAGCATACGGATGCACTTTAAATGAAAGCCCTTGATTACCTACACCGTGGTAGCTGGTAGCGTTTCTTTTGCAAGAATGCATTTCCAACAGAAAGGTAAATTATTTTGTCAGCCTTTGGATGTAATTTCAGGACTGAACATGAATTCAAGGTCTATCTTAAAAGTAGAAAGTAGGTTTGCAGCATGCTGTCTGAATTCTGAGGAAGTTGCACCCCTCTTCAGTTGCTCTTTTTTTTCCTGGTGTAGAATTTCCTTTCCTGTCTCCCCCTTTCCCTCCCCGGTGGAGGTCTGTTAGCAGTCTTTTGCCTATGTCATCATTCCAGGTAAAAACAGGGTCACGATATCTAGTGTTCCTTTCTTTCTTTGCATGAATCTGCTTCAACAAGTTTTGCTTTGTTAGTTTTCGTTTCCCTTTTTTATGTTTTGTTCAGAATTTGTACATTCAAATTGCACTTGTTATATCTGACATGAATGAAATAAAATCTTAATTGCAGATACTTCTGTACATATGTGTGATTTTTAAGAAAACTTACCAAGTAGGAGAACAGGAACAGCATCAACCTGGGATGGTGTCACATACCCACTAGCTGTGTAAAGACTGCAGGATTGAGAATTGTTTGTCCAACTATGTCCCAGCCGATGTGAAGAGCAGCAAAGAATTCAAAACTGAAATATACATAGCCCATGAACACAGACAATGTTGTGAGGAAAGCCTGGGGTGGGGCAGGGGCTGAGTGGAAGGGGCAAAGGAGGGGGCAATGGGACATCTGTAATATTGCCAATAATAAAAGGAAAATTCTATTGTTATGTCAAGTAGGATTCATACCCATTGGGGATTTTTTTCTTTTTCTTTCTGGTTTAAAGCCTATAAAGCAAAAAAGACTTTTCAATTTCACTGGATTCTAAGCAGCACGTTATGTTAGAAGCAAGGCACTGAGCATCCTGAGAGTGGAGCAGTGTACCTCATGAAGGGGCAAAACCATTCCCCTTTCCCCCTGGGGATACACTCTCAGTTTTCACCAAGGAAGTGGGGGTCATGGTGGCAGAAAAGATTCTGGAAGGAGAGAAGCAGGCTAGGGGTAAGACACCAGGGGAATGTGGAACTGGATGGGATCTTTCCCACCCGAAGTCATTTTCGGACATTTCAGGGAACAGTGGGCAAACCCCTGGCTGCCATTCTGCAACTTTTTGATTCTGGAGAGTCAGCCATGGGTTTGGTCAGGCCCGTGGTCAGCAAACGTAGCTCATGAGCCACATGCGGCACTTTGGCCCCTTGAGTGTGGCTCTTCCACAAAATACCACGGCCTGGGTGAGTCTATTTTGAAGAATTGGCATTAGAAGAAGTTTACGTTTAAAAAATGTGGCTCTCAAAAGAAATTTCAATCGTTGTACTGTTGATATTTGGCTGTGTTGACTAACGAGTTTGCCGACCACTGGGTTAGTCCATCAACATTGGATATTTACCAAGTGGCCAGGCACTGGACCTAGGAGCATCATCAAAAGAGATGATAAAGCTTATGTGAATCTGCATCTTTGGAGCCAAACTTTACCACAGTTCCCATAGACCCACCACCATCCCTTTGCCCAGCTTAAAGGAACAAAGAGGCTTTTCTTCAACTTCAGCCATAGAGATCACAGACCTCCAAAGGGAAGGAAGCTTTAAGAACTTGGGTAATTAATTTGCAAGAAGAGAAATAAAACCTATCATAAAATTTAAAAAGTGTGTGTGTGTGGGGAGAGTAATGAGGAAAATAGAGGAAAGTTCATATAAGGAACAGAGGCATATTCTAGTGAAAGGGAGAAATGGAAACCGGAATAGGAGCTAATTTGTGGGAAAGTGACATGTGCCAAGTACTTCTTCCTGTCGATTCCCATGCAAGTCGTTAGTACATGGTCATTGTAGAGGGGGGCAGCTTCTCCTTCATTGTCTTATCTCACTGGCTTAGCATTTTAATAAACAGTCAAGAGAAATGTTTCCAACCAATGGTCAGACCAAGCAGGCAGCCCACAGCCCCCAAATGTACAACTCCTGGGCATTAAGACTTTCAAAGGTGGGCCCATCAAGGTAAGAGCAAGGTCATACCCTGAACCAAACACTTAGCAAATATGAAGTGTAGTGCCTTTTAAAAACGAATGCACCCATAATAGTGCAACTTGGACCATGGAATTTCTCAAATCAAATAAAAATAAATAGCTCTTTAATTAAGGATTATTTTATTACAGAATTTCAATATCTAGGATTAAAGACAAAAAGCAGTGAGCCCTGGCCAAGTGGCTCAGTTGGTTGGAATGTCATCCTGTATATCAAAAGGTTGAAGTTTCGATCTCCAGTCAGAGGCAACCAATTCATGTTTCTCATATTGATATTTCTCTCCCTTCCTCTCTCTAAAAATCAATAAAAATATGTCGTCTGGTAAGGATTTAAAAAATGCATTGAAATTCATTTACATCTTTGAGACAAAATGATTTTCTAATTATCTACCACGACTCTAATTCAAACAGTTTTTTGTAAAGTTTCGGATGTCCCAGAGATCAATTCCTTTTTTTTTTTTTTTTAAATATATTTTTATTGATTTTTTACAGAGCGGAAGGGAGAGAGATAGAGAGCTAGAAATGTCTATGAGAGAGAAACATCGACCAGGTGCCTCTTGCACACCCCCTACCGGGGATGTGCCCACAACCAATGTACATGCCCTTAACCGGAATCGAACCCGGGACCTTCCAGTCCGCAGACCGATGCTCTACCACTGAGCCAAACCAGTTTCGGCCCCAGAGATCAATTCTAATGCAATATTTAGCATGCTATTAAGTGACCAGATGTTGAAACCCTACTTCCTTTTCCTTTTCTTTCATAGAAGGAAAGTAGGGACTGTGCATATCAAAAATCTGTGTCTCCAGGAAGTTGAGGGTGTGGGACAATCGACTTGGACACTGGATCCCAAATACATGAAAGGCAGCTACTAGAGCAGCCAAGGCCGTAACACAGTCGTCCACTTTAGTGAGTCTTTCTTTTTCTAAATACAGAGAAAATTCACAGACATCAAAGTTGAAAGGGTTTTTAACTTCTAACACGGGAGTGGACACATGCACCTGAAAAAGAAAAAAAAGGGGGGGGGGGCGTGTAAATAGCTAAATAATACAAGGTGTCTGGATTTATTATAATAAATGAACTTGTTGCAAATTAGCATATTTGTAAAAATGACAAAACATACTTCCAAACAGACCACAATCCTGCTTTCAAATATGAAGATGTGAAATGTCAAACCAGCGATCACTGATACAGTGCATACCTTCTCATTCACAATGACAAAAAGGCTGGGATCATCCCCAAACACATCTGGGAGGAGTAAACATGTGGCCGTCATCTTCATATCTGTCAAAGCAAACATGCTTACAGTCCAAGTAAAATGAGCTTTTCCTAACTGTTGCAGCAAAGCCAGTATAAAGCATCTTGATTTTTAAAAGATTGTTACCATCTACAGAGAACAAACAACACCTTTTTAGATGGGTGTTTCACAGCCATTTCTTCCCACTTTTTTTTATTAAGATATATGTGTACAGCCGAGACCGGTTTGGCTCAATGGAAAGAGCGTCGGCTTGGGGACTGAAGGGACCCGGGTTCGATTCCGGTCAAGGGCATGTACCTTAGTTGCGGGCATATCCCCGGTAGGGGGTGTGCAAGAGGCAGCTGATCGATGACTCTCTCTCATCGATGTTTCTAACTCTCTATCTCTCTCACTTCCACTCTGTACAAAATCAATAAAATATATTTAAAAAAAAAAAAAAAAGATATATGTGTACATATCTTACCTTTGCCCCACCACCCCACTTCCATAC